AACAATATGCGAAAAATTAAGCGGAAAACGCGTTGAAATTAAATTGAATTTTAATTGGCCTACGCGCATCAATAATTTGTAATTTGTTACAATAATTACAGAGTTATTTAATATTTATGTTGACTCGGCGCTTGTCAATTAGTCTGGCTCATGCAATTAGGGTTGATTAAAAAATTATATTTTCCGCTCAGTGCACACATATGTATGTAACTGTGTTTAATGCATATTGGTTCCCGCCTCGAGTCGAAATTCAGTCAACTCATTAATTATGATTAAAATTTGATTACGGTTTCACGTTTCAATTAATCTCGGTATTTGCCTTTAAAACGCTCGACAAAAAGTTAAACTAAATTAATGGCTTTTCATGCCAATTTATTTTGTACATTCATGAGTTAATTGGAAATAAATAGAAAGATGCGATTGTGTGGCAAATAGTCAATATTCTCTTGACCTGCTATATGAAAATCACGGAATATCCATCGAATTCAATTCTCCAATTAAGGTGGATGGGGACTTTTGAAGTCGCCAAGGCAATTCAACTTTAATCTGTGCATGTTAAAGCAAAGCCAAGTTAGTAGCAGCGACGATAACAACGACAACAATCTTACCGAGCGATTTACAGGCAAAGCTGGGCGAATACAATCACACTAAAATCGCGCATACGCCGCGTATTCCCCAAGAAACAGCAGAACTTCGCATTTGTTTGCCTTTGAGTGGCACATGCGCCACACTTGGCACTTGCTTTTATTTTACCCTGGGTTACTTTTAATGCCCAGAGCGCCAGGGCTAACATACACACACACACACGCACACATGCAGACAGACACACACATCAAGCGGCTTATTCCCAGTACACGTCACGGGCTCAAAGCATGTGTGTATATGTGTGTGTGCGTGCTTATAAGTGATTATCTGCCTGTAAAAATGGCGTAGAAAGCAGGAGCTTATATTCCCATACACTGATGCGCATTTGGGTCCACAAAGGGGTTATAAAAGTACTTTAAAACCATTTTTAGTAAGCGGATAGCAGCAATTTATGCATTATCTCTGCATTATAGAAAATAACTGAGCAGATATACATCTAAATAAAGCCCTTATGGCCTTACGAAGAATAAAACTAACTCAAATTGGAATTTAACAACATGGTAAGCGGATAAGTTACTGATTTCTAGCCGCTTGGGATTCAGTGTCCTGTGTTTCATGTTGCTGCAACCGATTGTCCGTGGCAAAGCCAATAAAATCTAATGAGACTGCAGCAGACAACAAATCGCGTTATTATCGCCGGGCAATGGCCAAGAGGGAAACACCAACACTCAGAAGCCAGGACCACAGGAAAACCCATAAAAGTAGCTAAAGCACAGACAAATAAAAGGATCGCATAAAACTAATGCTAAACAATTCCCTTCTTCCCCGGTTTTTGTCTTTTGTCTGCTGTCCTTAGTTGGTTTTCTGTTCTCCGTTCTCGGTTTTCCGTTTGTATTGCGTGAGCCTCGTTTCGTTTAGGTTTGTTTGGGTTGGGTTCAAATCGGTAGCTGGGACTGTCATCGCCCGTCTTCATGGCCGGACCCTCAAGACAATGATGGCTGGCCCAAGGCCCCCGAGGATATGCAATAAAATTGCGTTTTAATGCTGCTTCAACGGACGAGAAACGACCCATTTGCCAAGCTGGCCAAGTGCTTGTTTTGGTACGCGTCCGGACATACTCATCCATGAAATACGCATGCAGTGTAGGATATATGGATATATGGTAGATGCAAAAAATAAGTACACTTATTAAAAGTATAAAAGCTTAAGCCACTTTTAGATTTTAAAGTGGTATAAAAATGTTTCTTTATTAAATAACTGGGTATATAAATAATATAATATTATTACTAACTTTTACTCCAATAGATACACATTGAATAAATATGTATAATAAATCCTACGGAATATATTTTCGAAATAAGAAACTTTTGGATGAGAAACTTTTCTTTGGCTTTCCCTTAGCTCGTCATTCAATATTCATATTAGCCGAGGGTATAAAACTGTCCCCTTTGTTTCAATTTTATTGCTGGCTTTTTATGCTCGCCTGTTTGTTTGTCCTTCGCATTGTTTTATGGCATTTTATTTGCATATTTTCGCGTGTTTCCCGCTTGGTACACGAATACAGGACTTTTATGAGTTTGTCGATTCTCCGTGAAATGCAGAAGGAAAAGCCGAGTGGAAAAGCATTGCACTCCCAACGGGCTGCAGGGAAACTTCAATTCCTTGGTTGCCAACCGAGAAGAAAATGCTGCCTGCCGTTTGGCTTTTGGCTTTCAGCGTTCAGCGTAATATTTGACGGGCCGCAAAATATATGGAAAAATAAACGAAATAAGGAGGGAAGGCGGAAAACCCAAACGCAAACGGAAAAGTGTAAAGCAATTCTCAAGTGTTTCACGCTTTAAGCTTTGCGCCTCTGCGTTGTTCGCTTTGTGTATGTGTGTTTTGGTGTGTGTGAGTGTTGTTTGCCGTGTGCTTGGTGTTTTGTGCTCTGGCTTTGTGTTTGTGAAGCTCCGAACACAATTTCGACACAAAGAACCGGAGTGGAGTTCCCACGCCAGGCGATTTTCTTTGTGACTTAATCATTTTTTTGCAACTGATTCAATTAACTTTAACATCTCATGCCAGATATTTTTTGTACTTGGCACAGGGAAACTGCACTTTCCCTCGATTCGACAATTGCAGGCTAGTGAATGGGGTGCATTGTGCGTCGAATTGATGGATTCGGTCGGATAATGGATAAACCGCTGATAAACGGAAGTCCGCAGCATCCAATTATATTTAATTCCTGAAGGCAAACAAATGACAAATTGAATAAATGGCATTTAAATGCGTTTTTCAATTGCCAAGCAATGGTTAATTGCGTATTGGAAAGTGGAAATGTTTGCCCGGAATTAATCGCATCAGGAAAGAAATATATTGACCAAAGATTATAATAAATCATTATTTGTTTCTCTTTATAATAGATTATATGTCTTTTATATATAATTGGTTATGCTATGGCCTTAAATCCAATTTCCTATTCAGACAGCGAAATGTAAAAAAATGTTTTAAATTGGCTTTTACCATAACTTACATGTTTTGTAGGTATCAAAAAACAAACGTTTCATTTTGTTATTTTCTCGTATACAACCCAAATTTAAAAACGAAGTACAACAAACACAAAATAAAAGCCCAAAAAGAAACAAAATATTTTGCATTTGATGTGCACGAACATCCGCGCCAAAATAAAGTAAAAAGCCAAATTTATTTAAAATTCGCAATCAAAACGTACGAATATTCGTGCTGTAGACGAAAAACGGTAACAAAATATACAATAATTGTGTAATAAAAGCGCATATATGTGCAACATAAATCTCAATCAAGAATGCAGTTCACAGACCCATAAAAAAGTAACCATAACCATATCAGACACCCAAAGCCCAGCAAACTAGTTGGTCGCATTTCAGCGCTCCCATGGATACAGAGATACAAATGTATCTTTGCCGGAGGTATGTAAAAATTCCCCCAGCCAAAAAATAACGAGAAAAAAACAACACGGAATAGGACAGAAAGTGCAGCTAAAGCGAACTAAACTGAGCCCAGCACGCAATCGCCTGAATCTGGGCATCTAATCAGCGTTTGTACCTAATAAGCCGCCGGTGGATGATGACGCGATGATCATGGGATGATGATGATGATGCTGCATGAAATGTGCGGATTATGGTGGATAGTACGTATAGTACGATGTGTATAGTGTATAGTGTATAGTGCACGGCGTGTGTTTGGGTTAAGTGTGATAAATCGACAGTTGAATTAAGCGACATGTGGGCGACTGTGCGAGAGGGCGAGTCTCCGTTCTGCCGCGAATCAAGCAAAATATTTACACACACTCGAATTAAGCGAACTCACGCACTCGTCGGGCACACAATAATCGAAAGAAATGAGAAAAGCGATGAACCTGCACTGAAAAAATAAATAAATAAATAAATCTATTGTTTGCTGAAATGTTTTTAAACAAATTATTGGTAATAAAAAAATTTGTGTGATAGGACAAAAGAACAGTTTGCAAACATTCTTATTCAAATGGTTCATAAATCATGAAGCTCTGCGTAAAAATGTGTGATTTTTATAGGTTTATTTTTAATGAAATAAATATATCTATTTAAATATTTTCGCTTCATAGTTTCACGGCTTTAATTAGAATGTTTGATCTCGAGTGTGATGCCTTTTTATTTTTTAGGACGCATAAATGCTTTCATATGGCTGCCAGTTTTGTATTCTTTATAAATACCTTTAAGAACAATACGTATTTTTCTCCGTGTGCCATCGAGTGAAAGAATAAAGTAAAAGTGTCTTTTCATCAGAATTTTAAATGTGCTCGTCCTCGATGTGAGTTGCCAAAAAGTGTGTATAAGTTTGTGTGTGAGAGTGGGTACAGGTGTGCGCGTGAGCCGACCGAGCGGAAGTTATGGAGCCTACGTGCCCCACAAAAACACAAAAAAAAATAATTTCGCTTTCGTTCAGTGGGATGGCGGGGTGGAGGGGGCGGTGGAACAAGCGGGCGGACATTGAGGCAGCACCACTCGATAAACCACCAATACCAGTGACCAGCTCCTCGTATGTAAACAGACAAATTATGAATTTGTAAGACTCTCTCCCTTTTCCCGGAGTATCCTGTTTGTCTCCCGCTTTCTCTCTCCCTTTTTTTCTTCCCTTTGTGTGTGTGCTAAAGACTTCACGGATCACGGACCTCATCAAAAATCGTTAAATGCTAAAACGAAACAAGAAATTCAGCAACCCAAAACAATACTTCTGAGGGAAGTTTAGTTTATTGTATTTTTCCAATGGAATTCAAAAAGTGTTTTATAATAACAGCAAAAGGGGATAATTGAAGCAATGAGAATTATTTTATAGAAAATACTATGCAGTAATTAGGTTGTTATACTTCTTAAAGGGAAGATTACAATATAAATCATTTTTAATCATTAAAGACTCACGTTTTTGTGCGCTAAAAATGCTGCCTTCAGCCGCTCACTACATGTCACTGTTTATGATTTTTGTTTCTTAAAAACTTCTCCGATTCTGCTATTTACCAATTTTTTTAAACTGCAAATAAATTTGGGGAAACTGCTTGCGTTAAATTCTTGATTTTTTCACCAAAACTTCACTTAATCACACACACAATCAGGCTAATGAAAATCCTTTTCGGCCCGTGTTATGCCATATGCACGCCAGTGTATTTGTGTGTTTCGTTTGAAAGATGGCCAAAAGACAAAAAGAAAAGGGGTTATGCCCTCTGAAATGAATGTCTGCCTTTGGGTTAACTTTGTACCGTTGTCTTCTCTTTATCTAGCCAGTTTTTACTGTTTTTTTTTTGGGTTTGTTTTTCGCACTGAACTGTAAACTAGTGTGGCGTACTCCGCTCGATCCGCTGAACACGGAAAATGTGTCAGCCGCTCAAAACACGTCTCTAGCTAAACTGAATCCAAATGGCATCGCAATGCGTACTTTAAACTGTTCGAAAGTCACTAACACACATACAAGCTCATCGGGAAAAACGGACGAGGCCTTTCGCCCGCTCTTTCTCTCTCGTTCGACGAAATAGCGGGACTTATGCGGGTGGTCATCTGTCGTTACTACGCTTTCTCTCTTGTTTTCTCACAGCTTTCGAGCGACTGTCATACCTTCACTCTCTCTTTATTTTTGGACAGAAGCTTTAGCTTGTTTTTGTTCGCAATCAAAATCGGAAAGTTTGGCCTGCGACATTTTGCCGCATTTGTTGTTGCTCTGGACGGTCGTGAAAAAAAAAATTCATTATCTCGAGTGGGCCACTTTGTTTGTTTATACGAGAGACTCTCATCTCGAAAAATTTTTGTTCTTCTTTAAAGCTAATCAGCTATAAACAAAAATAAACAAATTCCAAAGTTCTATAAATATTTTCTATATTGTTTAGGTTTTTGTTTTGATTTGTTTTCATGGGACAACCGAAAATCGATCGCACACGTTTCAAGACAGTATCACACACACTCTCAAACAGCCAGCTCTCTTTCGCTCACACACACACACATGAACAGGCAGCTGTTTTGAGCCGCAAAGTAGGCTACACCTTTTACAAATTATTTTAAATCCGATAAACGTCTTAAAGACTTAACAAACATTTTTAACTTTATCTTTTATTTTAGTTATAAGTTTTTTTACATTCTTTGCACTTGCTCAACCGGATCTAAATCGGAACCAGCGTGACCGACGACTCGCAGCAGAATGCGGAAAATCGGAGAAAAACAGCAGCCGACCACAACAACAGCTGCAAAATGCGGCGTCGGCGTCCGGGATGAAAACTTTTCGGCCGCTCACAAACACACACTCACACACACACCTGTATGGGGATTATAGGGGGCCTACATATTATAGGAAATTTGATATGAAAACATTGACAAGCAGCCGCATAAAGCTTTTAGCCTTCAGCTGTGTGCACAGTTGTTGTTAGTAACGAGGGTGTATAACAGTTAACCAGTTTTCGGCTGGTGGAAATTCTTCTTGCGGCGGGAAAGAGCGGAGAGCTTTCACCGAAAACGAAGCTGAGGTTGGAAAAGTCTTTATTCTTAGCTTCGATTGATTGCTGGCCGGGAAACGGAATGCGGCAAATGGGTAAGATAAGCGCTAAAAGGCATAAACGGAATGTCTAAACATTTAACTGATAAACTCTGGCGATAGGGGTATTCACTGTGTGTTATTGCGCAGGATTTTATGATTGTATGACGCGTTATTTCTTTTAAGTTATAAATCGAAAGCGGATGGTAACTACTAAACGTTTGGTTTCTTAAAAAATGATTACCTTTATCTCTACTTAAAATTATTATCTTATGATTATTCTAGAATTATTTTTATATTTTTTATTATTTTTTATTTAAATTATACAAAAAAAAAATACAATTTTTATTTATTTGTAATAACAAAATCTTGCGTTAACAAAATTGTTACATTTACAACCGATCCAAATTCTTTAGAACCAACCCTCTCAGGTAAAAGCTTTTTGAGAGCGATGTGCTACAACACCGCCGCAATTTGCCCTGCAACTTGTTGCGCCAGATTTTAACAAACATGATCGTCAGAATGCTTTTCCAACTTAATCCTCAAATAAGAATAGCTTTGACTTATTGTCATAAGTGAACACAGCAATTTGAGGCCTATGCACCACATAAGAGTTAAACTACACACTGCTCCTTCTTTCGCACTTAACACTCTTTCACCCTCACTCATTGTAACTATTCTAAATGGACTAACGGACTCAAGGGCAAAAACGTTCGGGTACCTAAACGATCAACGGGTCCTCGTCAATCGGGTTCTCTCAGTAAATTTACCGGGAAAACGTTAAATGTAAAGTTACTGTTTGCATGGGTTTATAAAAGCGCCTCTAGCGGACGAGATTGACTTACAATCAAAGATAACAACCGATGGTGGAGTGATTGACTAAGAACAATTTAAACCACCCACCCTATTCCTGTTTCATTCGCACTTATTAGTAAACCCCCTTTCACTCGCACTCATTGGGGTATTGTATTTTACTATGGGCCATGCAACTTGTTGCGCCGGTTTTTCGAGTCTCAGTTTGCAGTCTTTTTCCAATTCTCGAATTCTCCGGACGTCGATTTCCGATCCTCTACTTGGTTTGTTATTGTTTGGTTTAGCTCTCTGATGCTAAGTTGTTTTCGTTTTTACGTGGGTGCGCGGTAAAAAGTATTTATAAAATATTTACGCATAGTTTAGCGTACGCCGATTAATTGACATTTGTATGCTTCAGATTCGGCTGGGCTAATTAATTCGAATTCCTCCGAGTGTTAATTGTGCCAACCAGTTTGTCGGCGATCTGCAATAGCTTTCGTGATGACTTAAGTTAGGAATGAATGACTAAAGACGACACACCCATTAAGTGTAGTACTAGCATTGCGATTTGCATAATGACGACATTTGTTTTGAGGGGCCTGTAATCAGCACTTGAGTATGGAATTCAGTTTTAATTTTGCTGCCGAGGTCTTGGCCTTACACTTCCCCAGCTGCCTTTTTTTGGGCAATATCAGTTTTGACGTCAGTGTTTCTAAATTCGGTTTTGAAAACCAAGCCAAATCTGTCGTTCGTATTTTTGTCACGAACTCAAAAGTGAAATCTAAATGCAGAAGAAAGCCATTCAAATGCAGTTTAAGGGGAAAACCTGTGTGAATGCATATTTAAATCAAATATTTTGAAAGTTACAATGTGTTTGAAGAAGAAAGATTCTTGTTTTTTAGTTTTTAAATATTAAAGATGTTAGATTAATCCGAATTAATACATTTAATTCTTTTGAAACACTTGCACATTTATATACCTTGTGTTACTCAAAGCAAATGTAATTAAAATTGCATATGACTAAGATCTATTTTTAAATAAGTTGATGAGACACAAATGGGGTTTATTGAAGGACTTAATTGCTTGTATAGCTATGACATTCACTATCTTAAATTAGCACATTGATAAAGTAATAATAAGAGTTAACAAATAATTACTTATATAGATTGAAAACATAAAAAAAGCTGATTTTATTTCAAATAGGTATCATATTTATTTAATTAACAACAAGTGTTTTTGTAATAAGTTCATTAAAAAGGTTCCTTTGTTCAAGTGTTATTTCCGAAGTCTTAAGTTTTTAATGGGATGTGCTCCACTTGGAGGGCGACTGATAAGATTCATGTTTTGCACATCCACTAAACAAGATCCATTGTATTTATCTTATCGTACAGCTCAAATCGCTCTGAACAAACAACACCACTCATCACGATGCCGAATCCACTGTGGTTTATCTTCTGGCTGTTGGTCTTCTGGTTCGTCTCTTTCTTCGTCGCTTTCTTCTGCGCCTTTTTCTACATATGGGTTTATGCCTTCGCCTCCTGCATTCCAGCCCTTACGGTAAGTTTTATCATTTATAGGGTTGAGCTATTTAGGTGTGCTTAAAATCAGGAGTGATTCAATAACCTCACCTGCTAGTTGCATGAGGCATTTTCCTTATCGGGCCGTGTAGATTTTTAGGCAATTACTCATTGCTCGACTTATCAGACCCACAAACGGGGCTTATGGCAAAGATAGCCCGCCCCGATGTATGCCCAACCCAGTATTTCCACAAAAACATAACTAACCGATTCGTTTTGCTACCTTTTGCAGGGCATATCGGACATTCTCCTCCAGGGAGTACAATTTCCGTTCTACTGCGGAAAAGCCATGCTGGAGGGAAAAGCGGCCTTCTAAAACGGGGATCCACTGCATATTTATAAACTAAGTGCCTTACAGATAACTCTTGTTTTCCATCATTTTTATACAATAAAGATTTTTTAACTAATATTTATAAATAAACCTAGTTTTATTCCATTTTTCTATGAGACGTTGATTGATCACCAGATAAAATTCTACTTTTAAAAAATAGTAATTTAAATTGAGAAATTTTCTGATAACGTAGTAAATGATCTATTTTTAATATAGATCATATGTCGAATTACTAGACGATATCATTGCTGATAATACTTTTTTTATCACCTTACGTCACCAGCCCCGATTCGAATTCCCTTGTGAATAATTGCTAATTGATATAGATAACAAGTTAGTAACAAGTTAAAAATATATCCGATATGCTTAAATTGCTGCCAATCAAAAAAGTCTTAAAAAATTTTAATTCTTTATAGTAATTAAATACCCAAGCACCTATAAAAATGTTTTGAGACCTGCTTTTAATGACCAAAACAATTACGGCAGTAAAACTTATATAACTTTTGTTAAAGTCTCCGCCAAAAATTTAATCTTAGATAGCAAAATGCGAAAACTTACCTTAGTTCAAAAAATAAAGAAAAGTGTGCCTGACCTAATTTTTATTTTCGATTTAAAATGGTTTATTTTATTAACTTTTTGAAAAATAAAACGAAGAGCTACAACAACTAATAAATAAATGTATTAAAGAAAGTCAATTAACAAACTCAAAAACGAAAGCACAAGGTAATTTTACTTCTCAAGTTGAGGCTGAAGAGGAATCGCTACCCGGTTCCGTTTTAGTTTACTTGGTGGTGGAGGCCACCGTGGAGTTTTGCTGACCACTGCCGGGCGGATCGGCTGCTCCGCCTGTGAAGCTAACAGTGAGATCATGACCCTGATGTCCGGCGGATTGAGATGTCGCCTCCTGTTCGCCGAGGGCGCGTAGTTCCAGCTCCCCGATGAGCTGCATCACTCGTATCTTGCCTTCGGTGGCCAGTTTGGGTGGCAAGCTCCTGACGGTGGCGCAGATGCTGTCGAAGAAGAGCTCCAGGGAATCCCGGGGTGGCGTTACCGGCGACACAGGCTGCAGCTGAAAGGATTGCAGCTGGCGGGCGGCATAAGAGGGCGTAGTGTGGATGGGCGTGATGGTGGCCTTTGAGCTGATCTCCTGCGCTTGGCAAACCGCGGTGGGTGGAGTAGATGGCGCAGGAACCTTCTTTATAGTGATCCTGCAGGGCGGAGCTGCTGTTGTTGCAACGGATGAGGAGGGTGTGGGATAGGAGGAGCAGACGGGCGGAACATTCGATGGCAACTCATTGATGGTCACGTGCAGGGGTAAATAGTCCAGCATGCCGGAATGCTGGGAGTCCGTCTCCGAGATGCGACGCTGCTGCTTGGAGACGGGCTCCGTCTCGAGATCGTTATGGGCTTCCAGTTTTTGAGATTGATCCTCATCGTCTTCGGCTTCCTCGCAATCTCCCTCGGTTTCGTCCGCTTCCCCTTCCTCCTCCTCAGTTTCGTCATCGGGAGGATCCGTTCCGTAGGGCAGCAGACCCTCTTCGTCCTCATTATACTCCCACTTCATAACACCGGAACTGGAACCCTCTGCTTCCGTTTTTAACTTGGCTGGAAGGGATTTCCTTTGTGCATTTTCTGAGTGCTTTATGCTGCCTTCATGTTTTCCAAGATCCGATCTCTTGCAGCTGAGTCTGCACTCGCAAACGGCGCAAAACACAAAGTGCGGATCCGTTTCATCGGGAAGGAGCCAAGGATATATCGCCTGGTATTCCGGTTTGGTCTTGGGACGAGGGTATTTCAACAGGGCGCATGGACGGCGTGGCCTGTATTCGGAGCGTAGGGCGTTTCTGAGGGGGTATATGGTCCTTAAGCAAAAGTTCCTAGCCTGTTACTTTATTGTACTCACAGTTTTTCCTGAGTTAACTGAAGGTTGGCCATTGGGGAAGTCTTTTTGCAAAATATAAACAAAATTTAGTGCTGTATGACCGTGTGCCAAAATAACTTCAAATTCCACGAAACGCGTTTCAAACCTGCATGTAGAGTTGTCACCCCTTTAATTAATTTAAAACTAGCAGCCCGCTTCGGACCGTAGTGATGATATGTGAATCTGATATGTATGTGAAATTTGTTTTTCCTTCTTAACATTAATATTATTATAAAAAAAATAACGGTAATTGTTTACAAGTGCGGTGCACGGTAAATACGGCTTAAAAAAATAAAGTAAAATATGGAAACGATGTGTTTTTTCTAAAACTTCGAAATCCGTTGGCGGAGAGTGAAAATTTTGCACCGTTTTTTTGTTATTAACAATTAAAGATTCGATTTGTAGTACAAATTCGGATCTGAGTGACCGTATTTGCAATAATCGGCCACCAGACGACTGCAATAATCGGCACATCACATGCAAATACGGTCACTCAGATCCGAATTTGTACTACAAATCGAATCTTTAATTGTTAATAACAAAAAAACGGTGCAAAATTTTCACTCTCCGCCAACGGATTTCGAAGTTTTAGAAAAAAACACATCGTTTCCATATTTTACTTTATTTTTTTATGCTGTATTTACCGTGCACCGCACTTGTAAACATTTACCAAAATAACATTCATAAATGTCTGTGGAAACACATGTTATATATCATCACCATATTAAAACAATACTGCGGCCAATAGAAGACGGTGGCTTACATTGCTTGGTAGTTTTTGGTATATTTCAGCATATGGTCCCATTGCCCGCCGGTTTAAGCAACGCCAACGGTCACACTATTTACCCCCGCGACTGCGAATTCGAGTTTTCCTTTCGATTTTCGGTAATTTATTTTAAGTTTACCACGCATGCAGTGGGTGTGCGACGGCTGACAAAGTAATCAGCAAAGTGCCTGGATCACCAGCGATCTTAAGCACCTGGTAATGGATCAGGTTTTGGGCCCACAGGTGACAAATCTTGAGGACTCGACTGACGCCGGTCTCAAAATGGCGTCCGCAAATTCCGAATCGTTAGCATCGGCAACTCACGAACTGAAAATCATGGATGTCGAAGGAGGAGCGGTGGTGGAGGTGGATCCCGTCGAGGAGACGGCCCCGCTGGTCATCCTGGTGGACGATGACGACGGAGACGCTGAGATGGAAGTGGAGGAGGAAGAGCGACCGGAACAACCGCCGGAGGATGGTGGGAGTGAAGATATCATGGACTACGACCATGCACCTCTGGTGGCCGAGCTTCAGTCCGCTCTAAACAACCCCGATGATAAAGCTACCACCGAGGATCCCCTGCTGGAGGATCCCGACCGGGAACCAGACACCATGTCCACCAAAACCGAACCATCAAGCGATGGCGAGAGCAACCATTCCTACCACGATCCCATGGGTCTGCTGGAGCCCATTGACAACCAGGATGGCGGGGACAGCCAAGACGACGATGATGACTTCAGCGTGGATGAAAGCAGCACCGGCGGAAACAACGGATCAATTCGCAAAAGGATGCCACGAGCACAGCGTTGGCTCATATGGATGAAGAGATGGCCCTGGATTCTCCACGAGCCATCTGACGGCACCTTTGCATTCTGCCTCTACTGTAACATGAACATCAACGTAAACAATCGTGCCAAGCACATCCAAAATCACAACATGTCGCTTTATCACCAGGAGCGCGAGTGCAACTACCTAGCGTTCAAGAAAAGTGAGGAACAGACCCGCGGAACGTAAGTGTTATCTCTTGGGACTAAAAAGTTGATCAACATCTCATCTTTATTCCTCATCTTTACTTGTTGCTGTCTCGAAATTCGCAAAAATAGTTTCATAAACAACAATATCACCTGTTGAATCCAAAAAAATCCCAGGATTCAAATAAATCTGTAATGTTTTCATTTGCCTTTTTATTAAGAGCATGGACAAACAGAAAGAAATCTTTTTTCAAGTAATTTTCACCCAGTGCAAAAGAAAATCTCATGCAATAACATTCACTCTCTTAAATGATCTCTTTTGTTTGTGTCGTGACTGGATTACAAACAATACATGGTCTAGTGGAAAGTGGCGGGTTTAGCGCTCAAGTAAATGTCAGATTACTTTCTCACCTCTCACCCGCCTCTCTTAGACATAACTTATTGTTTTCCGATTTCTTATAGAACTAGTGACAACGAGGTAAAGCACGAGTTCGGCACAAAGAGCTATGTGGCCGCCATGAAGCAGAAACGCGTTACTGAGATCGAGGCTTTCAACAACTTCAATTGGCTACGATGGCTCCGCTGGCATCCTTGGCTGGAGCGCGCCCAGCCTACCGGAACCACTGGATTGTGTCGCGTCTGCAACGTGCGTATGAACGTGGAGTTTGTTTATCTGCGTAAGCGCCATGAGACCACGAAAGGTCACTTGGAGGCGCTGCGGCAGCTGGAATCCGATAAGCCGAGCCGCAAGCGAAAGAGAAGCAAGAGCACCAACGATGCCGCCGCTATTGAGAGAGACATCGACCTGGAGAAGGAATCAGAGCCGGAAGGGGAGACTGAGGATGCGCAGGAAACCACCGTAGTGATGATGAACGGCGAGATGAACTCGAACGAGGATCCCAGCAGGTGGTGCGAGCTGATCCCGGACACCAATCCCCAGCAATGCCGGTGCACGCTCTGCGATACGCCGATGGCTATAACTAGTTTCATTCGGCACTGCAAAGGCAATGCTCACTGTCACAAGCTAAAGACACCACAGGAGAAGGGGTGGGTATTCCTGAAAAGTTTTTGCATCGCATACTTATAAATCTACCGAATCTACAGTTCTTCGGATGATCGTGGCATTTGGGCCGTATTCGCCGATGTGCATCCATGGTTAACCGCCGATCCAGACGATCCTAGCATCGCCTACTGCAGCATTTGTCGTAAGCGGTTCATGTATGGAAACTCGGAGATCAAGAGAAAGAACCACGAGAAGTCCGAGAAGCACACATCGGCGGTGGCTGCTGCCAAAGCAGCCTTAGATGCTGGCTTGGATGAGAAAAGAGACGGCGACAACGATGACGCTGAGGAGGAAGAGGGTGTGCAAATTAGTGAGGGTGCCCAGTCGGAGAGATCAGATAGCGAGCGCACCGAAGACTTGGATGATGACAACTGGTCGGAAACTCAGGAAGCCGGCAAAGGGTAGGTTTGTTATTATGAAGCTTTAAAGATACTTGAAATAGTAAAAAGTATTGCTATTACCCTCTTCTCTCGTTTAATATTGTTTCTACCAATGTTTGGAGACGGTCAGAGAACCTTAAATAGTAACCGATAAATTAATTCTTAGTAAACTATCGTTTTTACCAATTGTCATGAGTGTAAGTTTCTTCTAAATCATTAAATACTTATAATTTTGTATCGATTGCAGCTCTGCCGCAAAAGTCGGTGTCGAGCCTAGAAAGGCGAAGATTCGAGCGGGTATGCGCTTCTATCCGTGGCTGTGCTACTCTAAGGATCGGAAGACGCAAATGTGTAAGTTCTGCCGCGTGCGCTTCCACAACGAAACCGCGAAGGCGAGGCACGAGTTCAGTGCCCGGCATGCTAAGCTCATGAAGCAGTACAAGGTACATCAATTGAAACAACCACCGGCTACGCAGACTGGAACCAACCAGCAGGACGAACAGGAGGAGGAGGACACGGATGCGCAGAGCAACACGGACTCTGGTACCGTGACAAAAAAACCAGCCCGTCCCGCGTCAAAGTTGTTCGTCAAGCCCATTCCGGCAACCATGAAGGGCAAGGTGATGGTGTGGAAGGGTCGCTTCCCGTGGCTCTCGTATAAAAAGAGCGAGCAGCGTGGCAACTACGCGTGGTGCAAGCTCTGCGAGGTATCCCTCTATCTGCCCTCCTCGAAGTGGGCCTCGAAGCATCAGCGGACTTCCCGACACATTCGCCTGCGTATCGATCGAAAGCGCAATGGTGGGCCATCTGCTGATATTGCTCGTAGCAGAGTGGAGATCCCCGCCGTGGTAGCCACAGCTTCGGCATTAGCCAGCGGAGAGGCCAGAATGAAGGCGGCCATGGCGGAGCTGCAGGCCAAGTACGACTGGTTGGACCCGGATTCCACCGACGAGAACCACTGCCACTGCCGAGTTTGCGATACCCGGCTGCCGATCAAGGTCTTCTATCTACGTCAGCACGACGCCTCGCGCAAGCACGCCGATAATATGGAGCGACACAGGAACAGTGTGGCGACTAATGCAAATGCACCATCGGTTAGCAATGCTTCCACTGCGGAGGCGGAGAGGCAGGAGTCTGGTCTGGACAAAGAGAGCGACGGCGATCTTAGCGTTAGGTAAGTGGCTAATTTGATGTTATGAAGCTATGAGGTACTGACCCTGTTTCTCAATAGATCCGATAACAGCACGGCGGAACCACCCACGAAGCGATCCCGACGTTCAATGGAGGTGCGTCGTATTCTGCGCGCTTTGCGCGATTCCGTGACTAAGCGGCAGGATGAGCGCTCGCAAATGGACATGGCCAAGGACATGATCTGCTCCTCGTTCGATATTGTTTCCCGCCTGCGAACCTTGGAACGGGAAGCGGCCGCCCATAACGAGACCGCGGCGCAGGCGCCACCACCGATGGCACAGACAAAGTCACCGGAGCCCCGACACGTATTAGATCTCTTCTTCGATAGTATTGCACCAACCATGAAGTCCCTGCCGCCTGATTTGGCTGCCGAGGGCAAGGCGAAAATAATGCAGCTTGTTTGTGGCCTGGAAGTTCGAGCCATGCAAAGAAATTCGCCGCCTAATACAGGTTCTTCCACAACTACTTCTGTTGCTCCTTCAGCTCCGTCTGTTCCAGCTGCAAGCATTCCAGCTGATGTAGATGTGCATTCCAATGTTATCACCATCCAAGACGATGAACAGGCTTTGCAGAACAATAACAACGAAGTCGAGTCCGTGCAGACTAAGCCAGCAAGCGCTGGCCCCACCACACAGGTGACCATCAACGGAAATCAAAAGGATCTGCCGAACAATCTGCGCCGCATCTTGAGCTCATCGCAAGTGAAAGTGACCAGCCACTACGACACGGATTCTGTGCGTTGCGTGCCGCTGGACAAGTTGACAACAACCAGTCGGATTAACGGAAACGTGCGGCTCAGCCAAAGTGGTTCCTCGGAGGCACCGACTACTCCACAGGCGGATTTAAGCAATGGCAATACGCTGGCCATGCTCCGGCAGATTCGGGTAAACAACAGTAACACTTCCAAGATGATCACCATTACCAAGTCGCCGATGCAACAACAGCAGCAGCATCAGCAGACAGGCAATGTAACATCGACACCAATAATGCGCGGGGGTCAGAACAGCAACGGCACTCAGATGACCACTTTCCGGGCTTTGCTGAGCAACAACCGCAGACCATAGAACTCTTAGGAATAACGAATAATTTATAGCTATAGTTTTTGTCATTGTCATTGTTTAAATTCACAAGAATTCAGATATTTTATATGTTAACGATGAATACTTGCGAGCAAGATAGTTATCTCAAGTTAAGACACCAAAGGAGTTCCTTGCAAGATGATGAACATAGAAACCATTCTTCATTGACCCCTATTAACGAATCTGTTATATTCGAGGAATCCATGAATTTGGAGCCAGTTAGTTTTGAAAATATTTTCGCACCAGTAAAATAGAATTAATTTTTTTTTTTTTTTTAACACTTTAAAAATTGGATCGATTTATTAGGTTTACAGACTTACCCAAGTCCAAAATATATTTAAAGTGTATGTCTTTTAATGATAATCTTCAATTATTCGGAGTCAGTCACTTTGTGGCTGCCCAGTTTAAGTCTAAATTCAAGTTCAGTCGTTAGGAGATGATTTTGGGATCAGCTCAACTCGTTTTGGTTTCGCTGCTGGGGTTCCGCAGCTGGCAATCCGTTTTGCAGCACCGCTTCGCCTGGTTTCTCGTCGCTCGTTATCGTAGAAAGCTCGATTTCCCGAAGCTCTCCGAGGAGGCGCCGCATAGAGCTGTGCATAAAGGCGTTCTCGGGCATCTGATAGCCACCGGTTGCAGTTGTTGGAAGAGGTGTGATTGTGGGAGTAGAAGTGGGCGTCGCTCTCGGCGGGAAGCTGGTCGTGTTCAGCTGCTTCTGCTCGTTGGCCTCCAGCGCCTGATCGATGGGCGCCGATCGTGTGTGCAGCGGGAACATGAACTTCACGTCCAGAAAGCTGCACAGCTCCTCGATCCCGTCCAGCGTCCGGCTGAGCTCCTCGTTTCCATTCGCCTGCTTTCCCACATGATGGCGCACTGTGCCCAGGTAGTTTTGCAACTTGCTGCGGGCTATCTTAATAACTGTTTGGGCATTTTTTAACTCCAACCGAAGAAGCTCGGGACTCTGAAAAATAAAAAGTTAGTCACGTCCATTAGATGTTTTTACAGCAGGGAGTTGCAGAATATAGTTTAATAGTAATTTAATTTATTGCTATTAACTAGGTATTTTGGTGTATTTCTATGATAAATTTATCTATAAAAATTTTGGATCTTTTTCTGATCAAATTTTGGTGTCTTGGGAATGCAGGGATATAACCTAATAACCGTTTTAAAATATTTAAAAAATGATATATTTATATATAAATAAATTAAAGTATTTATTTATCTTACGCTTATTAAATTAAATAAATAACGGTCTTCTCAAAAGACTGCATTTACTTAATTTTTTTGTGTATCTCGATCCTATTCTAGAGAATAGTTAAAATATACTTTAAGTACACTCACATTCTCCAAGTAGCCGTCCATGGCCACGCGATGTGTATCCTGTAGTTTGGCTAAAGCCGAAGAATCCGCCGCATTGCGCTCCTGCATGAAGGTGATTTGCCTATCGATTTGGCTGCCACTGTTTGCCAAAGATGAGGTCTCAGAGACGGTTCGTGAGCGTTGACCCGTTGGAGGAGGTACTTCCTTGCCGGCAGAGTTGTTAGTGAATGAAACACAGGTGAAGGCGTTCGATGGATAGTCAAACTGCTTGGGGTTCAGCATGTAGAGAGCGTGACGCAGCACCAAATGAACGTCCACGTTTCCTGGATAGCGCATTAGATACGTCAGTGATGTGGTGTAGTCGCTAAGCAGCACTAAAATGGGAATTCGTTATGATATCTTTTAACCGGGAAGTACCAGGCGGGGATACCCACGTTTATCACGGATGTGCACCAGCATGGCGACCAGAATGTAGTTGGGCAGGTCGAAGCGATCACTGTCCGCGAAGATGGCATCCCACAGAAGCAAGAGGTCTAAAAGCATAAACTCCCGTCCGAAGAGGAGCCGCAGCCAGCGTCTTAAAAGATTTATATAAAGAAGAATAATTTAGTAAAGTAAATATACAGTAAATAATTATGTAATTATAGTTTATGTTCATTTAAAATTAGTTTCGCCTTAGCAGTCCAAAAGTTTTTTTTTATAAATTGTTAGCAATAATTAATATGGACCAAAACAAATCTTGAATTCAAATGGAATCCCCTGTGAAATTCATTTGTTAACGGGTATATTATTATGGTTGGTTGGAATTACAAATAGTTTGGATGACATCATCTTTTATATAAGTACATATAAATGGGCAAAAAATTAAATTCGGAGATGTTTAGTAACAAAAACGTTTATTTTTCTATTGCAACTCACATGCCAAATATATGCAGCGGGATTTCCATCTTTTGGAGATAGTGGTGCAAGTGCTGGTCCTGCTTGGCGAGAATTTTGTCCCGTATGAAGTTCAGCTGGCTGATAACCTCCGCCTCCGACGGCGTCTCATTGTCCCCGGGGCTCTGAAAGAGGAGTGGGTAGCGCGATAAGAATTGGGTTGCTGCACCCGCAAACTGCGACGCACCTCGGCTCGTTGTTCGATATGGCCACCGGGAGTGGAGACCAGATTCGAGACGCGATAGTACGACTCCACGGAGGCCATCAGGCGGGAGAACAAAGAGCTATAAAAAGGGCATGCATTTACACTTTGGTATTTTATATAATTGGTTATACGTACTAAGTATCCGCCTCCAGATAGGCGGGATCCAGTACGTCGAGCAGCGTGGGATTGATGTCTGTCTTGGCCAGCTCGCTGAAGTGCAGCAAAGATTGGTGGTCGCTGTAGACCACAAAGATTATGGGGGCCAGGATCTCGTGCATTCCCTGTCTGTAGCACATGTACGGATGCTCCCTGGCGTAGTAGAATAGTATGTTTACCATGGCATTCTGCACCAATGGCTTGCGGAAGAAGTCCACGCCCGGAAAGGTGCGCACCACATCCTGTCGGATGACTGCGAATAGCTCTTGATCGCTGAAGTACTGATTCCAGACGCTTTGCGTCGATTGCGACAGCGGGTCATCGTTGCAATCCACTGCTAGTTGATGGGGATTCCGAACATAGTCCGCCCGGAACTTGTCGTACCTTACGCGCTGCTGGAGCCTCTGGGATGTCCAGGTTCTGTGCTCCGAAGTCAGAACACGCAAAAGGAGTGCCCAATGGACACTCCGAAACTTGGACATTTTGAGGTCTCCTGCGAATGCCGACTGCCGGAGAGTTTCCGGCTCTGCGTCAAGGTTTTCCAGCAGCTGCGTCCATTCTTGTCGGTAGCGCTCCACCGAGTTCATGGCTCCCGCTTCCGGAATTATCCGATATCCACCGTTTTGCGGCGGGTGCTCCCAACTTTCCTTTACCGTCTTTCCGTTCAATGTGATGGCTTCTATGCCCCAAACTGTCATCGCTTGTCGCTGGCTGGACACTAAATGCAGGCGGTCGTCCGCTCGGTCTCCATGTCAACGATAGATGCCGGGTGGAGAAGGGGGTAGCGCCAAATAAAACACAAACAATGGGGTTTCTTCAAAGAAAGTAGATGCGGTTCAGTTCCAAGAGATAACAGTCAGATTAGTGTGACCGCAGGCTGGACGTTAGAATATACCAATTACTCATATTCTCTTAGTAACATAAACTGTTTTATTTTACAAAAATACTGCAACTGTGTATTAGAAATAACGGTTTTTTTTTATTTAAATTTCAAACCTTGAACTTTTCTTAATCTTGAGTTTTTACTTTATTATAATTTAAGAAGCTAATTCAGGAAAGCTTTGGAAGGATTCTGGTTCGAATACGGCTTTTCTGCTGATCTTAGCTCTTTTACCAAAATAGTTTTTAAATTCAATGCTATAATTGCTGTGAGCTCCATTTGATTGGTTAGGATTAAGCCCAGAGCTATAAAATGAAACTGAATATCTCATTAATTTGAATTTTAGCCGAGTCATCGAAGCAAAAAACATTTGCCATTAGCATTTAGTAAAGAATAATATGAATGTGTAACCAGGGTATTGCTTATACAGTCAAGCTTCATATAAACTAACTTTTAGGTCGCCAAACACCTTTTGTGAATATACGATGGCTGCAGCTAAAGAAGTTAGACTTTGACTTTGTTTGCCGATCCGCTTCTAATGAGCACATATGAATGCATTAGAGAAAAAATCCGACAAAAAGTTATTAGCTTTAAATTCGCATTTATTTTCGCGTTCTGCTTCACGTATGCAGTGTTTATCAAATCACGCAACTATTGAGGTCAATGCTTGTCGCTATAATATGCAACAATTAATTCATGATAATGCTAAATCGTCGTCAGCGACGCGGATCCAACCAGGAAATAGAAGACAATAACGAAATGCGAAGACGCGCGCCGGCGCATTAGCTCTCGGCACCAACGGATCGCTTCGGATCGGATCGAATCGGATTGGCAGAAGTTTTGGCCCCTTGCGATGCTAAAAGTTGCAAATAAACCAACCGACACATCTGCTAATGGCCACTAAAGTTTTCTAATTTTTATTGTGTGCCGGTGCCATGACATGCCGGTCAATGTCGTTTTTTGATCTAGTCTTAAGTAATTTTTCTAATCTCTTTGGGGCTTGAACTTGAACGATCGATGGCTTTGACCCAATGACTGAATGCCGAATCTCTGCGGTGGGTGGATGGGTTGGCAAATTGCTGGGTTACCATGTTGGTGGGTCAGTGGCTTAGTGCGTGGCTCGGTGAATCATTCAAGTGTGTCCAGGGTAATAATTATGCGTTCAAGAACTTCCACAAGATTTATGGCTTCCATATTTTTCAGGCAAGGAACCATAAATTGTAGGAAACAGAATATAAATGCATTACCTCGCTGCATGCCAATTTTTTTTGGCCAGTTCGCCTCCGAGTGGCAATAAAGTGCAGTCTTTATATTGCATTTGCATAAGACCAAGCGCCGCATAAACGCAACCAGATATCGCACGTATGCGTCACATTGGCTCCGATTTATAATTTCTCGGTCAAAGTCAATGTCAATGCAAATGGCGAAAAACCAGCAAGACTCCGCCGCATTCGCATTAATAACAATAATCAGTCAATGGGGCTATTTGGCTTTAACCCTCCTCTATTTCTCCTCACCCTCGGACTCGAAAGAAAAAAAAAACGGTCAAAATGCGAACGAGTTTTGGCCGCTTATCAAAAGCTTAGCTTTTGCCTTTGGCCTGAGAACTCGTTTGCTGTGCCGCTGACTTTGGGCCCTGTTACAATTTGCTTTTGCCTGCTTAGCATTTTGTATTTCCTGATGTTTAATCAGCCAGCTGAAGACGAAGTCGAGACAGCAGATCGATTTCGGGGTTCACTTTTTAACTGAACTAACTGGTCAGGTGTTTTGAATTTTGTAAGATATAAGCTGAAGTTCAAAAGGTGAAATATTATTTACATCAGTTATTTTCCATAGCTAAATCTTTTTTATACATAATTTTTGCAACGTTAAGTTAAAGCTATACAATTTATTTTTATAAAATGGATGTGGAATATAACGTGTTAATAAACTTAATAAAGCCTTTTAAGACGACGGAAAAATATGAAGCTGTGTTAATCGGTTTTCTGTTTTAATAATTATGTCTTTTAAGAAAACAAATATGTATTTATTTAGCTTGTGCTATACTTTATTTAAGAATTTACATATTTTTAAAAGTTTCAAACAAATTGTTTCTGGGAATAAAGTTTTTCCAAATTATGAAAGTAAAGGTATAGTATTTTTTTGTGGTAGAGAGGGTATTCAACATATTGCCGGGTCTTTCTTTTCCGTCATGGCTCCAACGCAGTCTCGACTTCATCTCTTCATTTGCAGGCAAAGACAAACACGAGGTTAGCTTTGATTCTGTTGGCGTCGCTTTTTCGCGCAGCATTGGCCTTTTTGTTTGGCTTTGTTTTCATTTACATATTTTAATTGCTGGGTCCGCTGGCGAGCTCCGAACTTCGGAGAAGTCCGGTTCCCAACTTGTTTACTGTTACATCTATGCGGAAGAGTTCGAAGCGGAAGTCTGGCCAAATTCACCGGCTGCGTAACGTGTAATGAGGCGGAGAATTTTGAATATCATTTAAGGTTTGGGGATCGATTTAAGCGAATAATAGGAAATCAATAACCTTGTCCACATCCAGTCAAGGGTCATGAGGTTAAATGGAAATGCGAGTCTGGAACTGGGCATAATTCATTCTTTTCGGATTCCAGTGTTTATATTTATATCCCGTGAGCTCAGCTTTGGTCTCGTGTTGGCCAAAACTTGTTCTGTCCCCCAAGAACTTGGGGGCCGAGCAACTCGATATTCAGATAAGTAAATCGCTAGAAGCATTAAAAAGAATATTCTTAAGCCACGCTCCTAACTTTTTACAGATCTTTTCATACGACTTATTTCCTTAGTTTAATCACGGCATCTCTTGTCTGTCGGTCACCAAAAGTTCTTGATTGGGTTAATGACGCATATCTCTGGGGGTATTTTGTTTTATATTCGCCTTGACTGATATCGTTGACTGGCTGGGTGTTAAATGAGCTGCCCCCTGTTTTATGGAGTTGCCCGACTGGTTTCACTAGCCGAAATAAAATAAGGGCCAAGTGGCGTCTTCTGCCGGGCCAGGATTTAATTGGCAACCAGTACTGTCTGGAAACACATGCTTGGTTATGCAAATTCGCTTACACACCAGCAAAGAGTCGAGAATAGAAATCCCCGAAATATATAAATCTGCGGACGGGCCGAGGGCATTTTAAAACCCAATCAGGTTTGCGATCTCCCCCAGAATTCTAAGCAGGCTCTCCGTCTTTTCGATGCCGATCATGATCGACTTGTTAATGAAAAGAGCCAAGCACTTGGTGACGAGTTCTTTAAGCCAGCTAAGCCAACTTCCCCGCGGCCAAGATTCTGTGGCCCGGAGTGTACGGAAATGCTATTGCGCCAAAATAGAAAACCAAACAAAAAAATATCAGCCAGCTAAGCCAACTTCCCCGCGGCCAAGATTCTGTGGCCCGGAGTGTACGGAAATGCTATTGCGCCAAAATAGAAAACCAAACAAAAAAATATCACCGAAAATTTTCGGGCGTGGGCGAGGAGAAAAAGTTGGGGGAACGTGAACTATTTGCTAATTTCTGCGGTCCAAGTAGTTTTATGGCTTATCAATTTTTTGCTTGGCTTGTTCTCTATTTTCAGTGAATTAAACATTTTTATGGATGGACAATGCCCTGGTAGCTTCTAAGGAATGTTGGTGTCTATTTTGACTTCTGTTTTTAACTCTTATGTATTTTTTCTAGGTTTGTCGCATGTAATATGCTACTTTGCAAAAAACGTTTTAATGGACCATTCGTTCTGTGTTCATGTTTATTAATGTTTTACAACAGCGCGGTTAACAATATATTTTCTCAGGGATTTTTGGTCAATAACCATTTTTACTATCATTTTGTACAAGTTTTGCATAGAATATTTTTAGAACCTTCTTTTTTTGCTTGTTACTGCAATTAAAAAGGTAACTTGCTTTTTGTATATATAATATTTCCATTTACATTATTCATTTTTTTTTTAAAGTTAAACAAATTCGTTAAATTCAAAAATTTTAATAATGTTCACCAATAAACTCCAACGAACAAAACGTGCCGTCCACGAGAAAATATATGAATGGGCGCGGGCTTTTGGCCGAAAGAATAGTCTAAAAATAGGGGTACAGGTTTATTATCTTCTGCTAAAACCTAATGGATTTGGGTTGTACATTGCCTGACAAGCACCACAAAGTCGTAAAAGCAATGTTTGATAAATTGGCCGGACGAACGGCCTGGGAATTGCAAAGCGGCCAACGGCATTCATTCGGCCAGTAGATTTTCAGAAGCGTGTGCTGAAAGAAATGTATTTCGAATAAAAAAACAATAAACAAGAAAAAAGTATTAGCATATTATGCAGATCTCGCTGATCGCGTTGTGACAAGTGACAATGAGATCGTTATTGCAAAGTCCATGCCGCGTTGCCCTGGGAATCCATTTAGGTTGTTCTCCTTATACGATCTGTATTTACACAGAACACAATGTTACTTGAAGTTGGAATTTTAAACATTTAATTTTTGTTATACAAAACAATTTATATTATATCAATAGTTTGTTAATATAAAAATTGTTCATATAAAATAAAAAAAAGCATGTACCTACTTTTAAATAATGCTTCAGCTGAGTTTATACTCCATATTCCTAGGAATTTCAAAGTAAAACATTTAGATTGTATGTTAAGCAGTTAAATATTAGTTTAAAAGTAAGTAAAAAGGAAGCTATAAATAAATTTGTTTGCTACCGAATCAGTTCTTGTCCGGAACTGAAATCAAAAGTTAGATCATAATAGCACATTAAAAAAAAAACAATGAATATTTATGAGTTTCTGTATCTGTATCTTTGGTTGTTTTGTTTTGACGCACAGCTGGGGATATGTAATGAGGCTTTTGTTTGATTTTGTTATTATTTTTCATGGCACATTTGAGGCGGGTGTTGACGTGACATTGTGCTCTTCCTGCGGCAAATGTGAAATTTGCATAAATATTTGGCTAAAGCGATCGCCGCCACCTGGAGGACTGACTCGGTTTTTCACGCACTTTGCACTGGAAAAAAAAAAGATGGAGACACCGTCTCGGCCAATTTGTCACCGGAGCTGCGTCATCTGAGCAGTGTTTTCGTAACAGTCGCCAGTGTGCATTTCAATTAGCTGCAATTAGTTCGGGCATCGCATCACCAGTGAAATTTCATTTCAGGTAATTTAGAGTTGAGGTAATGTGGAGCTGGTCTCGCCCCAAAGGTTAGGGCCAGGTTAAGACAGCCACAGGTTAAACGACGTGTTTGCAATGCTAGTACCCGTACTTAATTGTGCAATTTTCGCTACTCAAGAACTCGGTAAGAACTCAAGAACACCGGACGACCTTGGCTAACTCACGATTCCCTGTCCAATTTCAAGATGCTACTGCCATTTTGCCAGTCACATTCGTATTAGATTTAACCACACTCCGCAATGACAGTCATTTGGAACTACTTTTTTTAATTTTTATCTTCAATTTTTCAATAGCATTTATTGAGGAAGGCTTTGTGAGGGAGTTTGGTTGCAATTTGGCACTTGACTTTGCAGTTTTCCACAAGTGTATTTTGCACAGTGGCTAACGATTCTTGGAAACTGTTATGATCAGTCATTTATAGTTAGTACTTACCCTACAAGTGAAGTATTCGCTTCGAAAAGCATTCTCAGTAGATCAGCCAGCTCATGCAAAATCAACATTATTAATTATCTGCCAAGGGAACTTTCCTCTGTTGATCTACGGAAAAAGCCTGATTTATATTTACTGTTTAACGCACAACTATAATTTTCTCAACACCTTTTTAGAGGTAATAACAACTAACAATGTTATTACTTAATAAATATTTAAATTTACTCCATTACAACAAAAATTATTTATGAATATTACCTTAAATAGCATTAAGGCTAACGTTTTACGAAGGCAATAAGTCTTTTCTTGATTTTTAGCCTTTGAGTCATATTTTACTTTGACTGATTTGAAAACCCAAATTTTCCATACTTACAACTTGGTGAATCATTAAGTTATTTGACTTTAAGTTATGATTTTTACAACAGGAAATATTTTCGCCCAAAGCAATTATTATCTCTAATTTTTTGTCTCGTGTGAAAACAAAAATATTTGGGTCTACGAAATTACAGAGTTTAACATAACAACATGAAATTGTTAGTTAAGGTGCGTACAGCACATTGGTTTTTTTTACTTAAAGTACTTAAAATATTTTCATGTAATTAATAGAATTAATTAATCTGCTATAAATAATGATTTACCATTCACAAATCGACATGAAAATATGGTGTTTTAATGGCCCTTTAGCGCACACGTGTTGACAATAAACTCTGGAGTTATGCTGATTGAAATCGAAAGCAATAAAATCGTGGCTTGTTTGTTTAGTTTTTGAGGGTAGTGCGATTACATGCCAACTGGGTTGGGAATCACTGAAAACGTGCCACGAAACCGGTTAACTCCGACTTTGCTTTCAGCCAGTGAGTAACCACTATGCAATTGCAGGCTGCATGATGGCAAGATGAACCACATGACCTTCGGCGAAGTTGCCACAAGGGGCCAAGAAAACCTCGAGGGGTTTTTGACACCGCACGCCGGCAGATGGCAAACAGTTTTAGTGGCCGCCACTAAACAAAATTAGTTACAACTCATTTCAACTTTGCGGCGTCGGTGTGAAAAGCCGGCAATTATCGGAAACCGCAACGACGCGAAAACTGTCAACAAAACGCATTTTTTTCGGCCTCTATTTCTTGGCCTGCGACGCGGTAATTGCTGTTTGCCCAGCGAGGTCTACACAAATCCACCAAAGAATCGAGCCATTATTGGCCCATTTCATGTGTATTCTGGGCAAATATTTGGGCGGACTAAATAGCAATTAAACTTCAGACACGCGGCAGGAAAATGTCTGAAGATAACCGAAAAAAACCAATTAGAATCTGTGACCAGTTCGTCAAAATAACTGAATATGCAAATGGACCCAAGGCCGAGGTGGCAAACTGGTTAACCGTTTGGCATCTGACATACATCGCATTATATATGGCCCAGATCCGGAGTGACTTAAGAACGTTATATAACGCCGATTCGAAAAACATGTTTCCCAAGCACTTCATTAGCAGGCAGTGCAAAACCTCAAAAAACAAAATGGGAAAATGCAAAAGAAATCGCGGAGGGACGTGACGAGCTCACTTGACCGATAGTTTTAGCCCGCCTGACCTACGTTGAACCATGGAAATAAAAATGAAACTTGGCCAAAAAGGTTGAAGTTCCACTTTGCGAAGAGGCGTACGTGAGCGAGGCTGTTAACAGATTTTTTTTTCTCCGGGGATTTCCCCACCGCTTGTAATACTCTTCAGTTGAAAGTGCAAGTGATCTGAATATTCTACGCAGACTGATCGGAAAGTCTAAAATGCTGAAAGCAAACAGCCACGCGCCGAATATTATGGAACACATACATGGAAAAGATATGGCATAGGCGACCCCGGCCCCCATACAACCGAGATATCCAACACCCAAGACCCAAGATCCGAGATCCGAGATCCGCGATCCGCGATCCCATACGATACGATCCGATCTGAAACGATCCGATCCGAACCGATCGTCACAGCCAAAAGAACCGAAGCAGAAGCGTCGGGGCGTTGAAGCCGCAGAGAGACGCTTTAAATTTCGGTGTGGCTTTACTTTTGAGGCACTGTATCCGTCCGCTGCTCTCTCAACTCGATCAGCGTCTCGACGTCTAACGATCGATCGCGGTACTGTGCGAATTCTTTGAACTAGGCGCTTAAAAAGCACTGCCATTCGCTCCGATCCCTCATACGCCGTGCATTCATCGCGACTCGTGGACGTGCTCCGTGTGAAGTGGCTACAAACAAAAAGCGCTAAATAGCAGTCTCGACTACCCAACGAATCGTCCTTATCGAGGACATTCGAAACGAACTCTCGTGCTAACAGTGATCTAGTGTGTTGTCTAGTGCGAACCGAACTCAGCGGATTTTGAGTGTTCCCCTTGGATTTTCCACTACTCGAATTTCGCAACTCAATCCTTAAAGGTGAGTGTGAGTTAGTCAAAATAAAATATAAATAAATATGAATCTTCGACTATGAAGATTATAAAATGAAACCTGTATGCTTTGGCTTTGCGGAAGTCGGCAAGCAGGAAACCAAAGCCATCTCGAGACTATCGTAAAAGTTTCGGCCGAATTTCAACATCGATCGACAGCACTTCAATGGCCGATTGGCCATGTGATTCACCTATAGGAAATAGCTCTCCGATATATTTATGAAAAGAATATTTTTCGAGCGTCTGAGGCAAGACCAAAAAAGAAGGTAGTGACGCCTCACGTAACCCTCATAATACTTAACAATTATGCTAGCCTTAAATAGACCGAATGGAATTCTCCAACTTATCAGGCGACTCAATTTCTTTGCTCTTAGCCGCACATCGCTAATTGCGAATGCGTCAAAGTGGCCGATAATGAGTATGGATGCCACGCATAATGCGGCCATAAGCATATTAAGTCCAGAGATCTGTTTAGCTGGAAAGCCAGAGAACTATAGGCCCCCAACCAGACCAAAGTCACGTTCCCCGTTTCTGTTCTGGGTTCCAGTCTCTAGGAATTTGATATGCGAATAGCGTAGCCAACTGCGTGCGCTACCCGAATCGAATCGATCAATGGGGCTCCGGCTCCTCCCGTGGATTCGATCACGGTCCGCATTAGATTTGAGTCAGGTCCCATAGCCAAACGCTTTCGCAGCACATTATATTTATTGCGGTGCCAAGCTGACTGATTTGTGACGTGGTAAACCAGAGTTCGTCTAGAGGAATCCAGCACGAACCCAAACCCAATAGCAAAACCCAAGCTTAGCTGAAAACCCACCAAAAACTTGTTGGCAACAACAACCTTGATACTTTGGCGGCGGAGAACCCGAAACAAAAGCAGTTCTATACATAAATTTACTGCGGTTACTTAACTATGCTAATATTCCGGTAAGGATGATTCCGACTCGGAATCGAACTGAAGAAGGCCCGTGCAAAAACTAGTTTAATTCGGTCCGCGCGTGGCACCTGCATGATATTAGTTCGCTGTCCATTGTTAAGTCAATTACATTCCCCGATAGCTGATAACGAATTAGCAGCCGTGTAGCTCTAATTTCCAGTGGTTTACATATCACCCAGGTCCGAAAGCCTGAATTAAGCAGGCGAATAAAATTCAAAACAACCGACTTGACATTGAACCGCGGCCAGTTAATGGCTTCGAATCTATGCGCAAAGCTAGCAGCTCCCCCAGACAGTAAGAATAATTTTTTGTTTTGGATCAGTGCGAGACATGCAATACACGCTGAGGTCAACCGGTTGTCTAATTTATCTATTCTAGAGAGTTGAAGATCAGTCGTTTGGCCAACTTTATTTTACTTCTGTTGCCAACGATGTCTCATCAATCAGCACTCGCAATTTTCCGAGTGGCGGAGAAAGAATCGAGTTGCATGGCTTCAAAGTGCATTGAGTGGTGCGATTAAATGGACCCACAAGGCGTATGCGCAATGTGTCGCACTGAACTCGATGACCTGGCCTCTGCTCATGAATTAATTCAGCTCTGCTTAAGCAACAAAGTTATTCAAATTCGCAATGGTCTACATAAATCGCTAGTGACTTCGGTGAACCTTTGCGCGAATAAATCCCTGAAATGTAGATTATGTCTCTAAGTACATTCCCCTTTCTGCCAAAAGATATATTTCATCATCTTGTTAGATATCATCCAATGTCATTTTAAGAACATCTTCGACATGTTTCATAATTGAAAGATATTTTAAACCTTTTGGTTTATTTTTAGACCGCAAAGTTTTTAAGGTTCTTGAAGAAACCTTTCTGGTTTTGATGGAGTCACCAGTGTTTGTAAAGAATGGATATGCAAATATTCCATTCGGCGTGTACAACATAAAAAATTATTGATTGCTTTTCTGCGGGGATTTTGTTGTTTGGTTTTTGGTTTTGATTTCGGATTTCGTTTTATTCGGAATTCTCTTTTTGCGCTTCCGGCTTGCTATCTTTGTATCAGCTTGAGTACCATTGAAGCTGGCCAACTGGCGAAGGTCGCCGCTCGGCACTCACCTCAATTGTGGTCCATAATTAGTCGTGCAGCTGGGGTGATGCCTTCCATATGGAGAGCCATTGGAGACACACGGCCCGTCCTGCATTTCAATGAGGGAATAGAGGAGCACCCATCACCACACCGATTGATTTGCATCTCAGTGGGACACACACGATAGAGACGACAAAGGCGTCCCGTACGACAGGCCATAAATCAGGAAGAAAACTTTTGAATACCAATTCGTAAATACTAATTAGGGAATGTCTCTTTTCCGCTTACGTTTTGCAGATGTCGCCCAACATAATAGGCAGCACCTTCATATTGGCCGAGACAGCGATTGCCGATGGTAACAACAACAAGATGGCCGCCACACCCGCCGCTTCTGCCGCCCCCGCCCCCGCGGCCACGCCCACGCAGAAGGTAGCCAAGAAGACGGAGGTGAAAACCCCGGAGAACAAGCCCTACGAAATGGAGATCGTGTGGCGAAACGTGGGTCTCTTCGTCATCCTCCACTCGATGGCTCTTTACGGACTTTACTTGGTGTTTGCGGAGAGTGCCTACTTGGAGCTTTTGCCTGGTGAGTTTGGATGAAGTGGGTTATATGCTCTATATCTTACTAACTCGAGGTTATCTTTAGTTTATGTGACCATGTTCCTGGGAGGTCTGGGCATCACTGCTGGAGTGCATCGCCTGTGGTCCCACAAGGCCTACAAGGCCAAGCTGCCCCTGAGGATCTTCTTGATGCTGTGCCAGTCGCTGGCCTTCCAGAACAGCATCTGGGAGTGGACCCGCGACCACCGCGTGCACCACAAGTTCACCGACACACACGCCGATCCCCACAACTCCCGGCGCGGCTTCTTCTTCGCCCACATGGGCTGGCTGATGTGCAAGAAGCACCCCGACGTGACCACCAAGGGCAAGCAGATCTCCATGGAGGACATCGAGCAGGATCCCGTCGTCATGTTCCAGAAGAAGTGAGTTGTTTTATATACAATAATATGATCAATTATAGTGCCAAGTTAGAGGAGTACAAAGATTCTCTAAGAAATTTGTACCTTAGTTTTATTTAAGATATCTTGAATGGGATGGTAAATATCTTTAGATGCATAAGTAACTATCATATTATATTGCCTACATATTGATGCACTTGTAACATTGAAATTTCAAGTACTGCCCAAGTTTCCAGTTACTTAATAACAATCTATTTTCCTGAAATCTCTAGAATTTTCGTGGAGTTTTGATGCTGCTAAGTTTTTAATGCATTGTAGTGTAATGATGAGTGAGCCTTTACTCGTAGTTGTTTGTTACGAATGCCTTAGTAATGAAGTTGTGTTTTATTTACTTTTGTTCAAATTTACTAATATCTGTATTTTGTAATGTTTTCCCCCCAGACTCTACTTCGTTGTGATGCCCATCTGCTGCTTCGCCCTTCCGATGATCTTCCCCTACTACGTGATGGGCAGCTCGCTGCGAGTTTGCTTCTTCACCTGCTCGATGCTCCGCTTCTGCCTGTCGCTCCACTTCACCTGGCTGGTGAACAGCGCCGCCCACTTCTACGGCATGAAGCCCTACGACGTGAACGTGAGTGCGATGAACAACAAGCTGGTGTCCACTCTGACAATCGGTGAGGGATGGCACAACTACCACCACGTCTTCCCCTGGGACTACAAGGCAGCCGAGCTGGGAACCTACAGCTTCAACTGGACGACGGCCTTCATCGATGTGATGGCTAGGATTGGTGGGTTCATAGAGCTATCTTTGTGCTAAAACTCTTACTGACTTCTGTGTTCTTTATTTCCTTTTTTTAGGACAAGCCTACGACCTGAAGTCCGTGTCCCAGGAGATGGTCTACAAGCGAGTGCTGCGCACTGGCGATGGCAGCCACATCGCCGCCTTGTTGGATGCGAACAACAACAGCCCCATCCCGACCAGTGAACTGGTGGCCCACCTAGATCACGACAAGGAGGAGCACGCTATCTGGGGATGGGACGACAAGGACATTAGCGAGGAGGACCGCAAGTCGGCCAATGTGGTGAACAAGGAGTCCGAGTGCAAGTTGGATTAGGGGGAGCGGGGATCAAACGGGATTCGCCCAAATCGAAAACACTTCTTGCTGCCACATCGGGTCTGCAGTATTTAATTATATTAATTGCCCGTTCTCCGCACTGTTTGCATTATGAAAAGCGAAGAGGGGATATGGTAACCCGGGGGGAGGATTCCGATCGTGAGACCCGAAGCGATGGCAGCAAGGACACCTTATATATCAATGGCTTCAATTCCAAATACAACAAAACAACTCAAAACTATTCGAGATTAGTCAAAGCAACTCGTTCGCAGCAACGGAGTGTTAACAAAAATCAGCAACTTACCTTATTCCTGATTCTCTGCGCACTTGTAGTTCGGGGAAAAATGAACACATATGCCAGCCTCTCCCTATTTCTATTTCTATCCCTATCTCTATTTTTATATATTAATAATTGTATATTTACGCAAGAGGTTCTAGAATTAAGCGTACCTACTAAGATCTACTTTAAGCATCGACTTTTATGTGTGTGTACATTGTGTTAGTTATGTAGGTCTAAAATTGTACATTTCAGTCCAACTATTGTTGAAAATTATAAAAAAATTATATAAAACTAAAAAAACAAACACGATATTTATGCATTTATTGTGGAAAAACGTTTTGTAAAACACGAAACTTTTTGGTGTCGGAAATTGGTTTCAAAATTTCTCAAAATAAAGAGTTTGTATTTTATAAATTGTTAGAAGTGGATTCTTACACGGTTTATATTTTGGCTGTAGATTAAGAAGTTTTAGTGATAAGTTTAAACCTTTGTAATGAAAAACTTGCCTGGTGCGAACGAGTTGTTATGACTTTATGACTTTACGCTAAATAAACCAAGCCACTAAAATGCACTTATAATAATCGTGAAATTTGAATTTTATACTTTTACGTACTTTAAATGTTTTAATTATGTGTTTTCGAAGGCGATAAATTCTCACTTTGAAATTTATTTCGCCCTTTTAAACCATTAACACATTAGGAAAATGTAATTATCGTACTTAGTTTTCAACTAGCAGTAAACAGAGATGTTAATTGCGCTATTAAAATTTCTCGGTAATTAGTTTCCTGTGGGTACAATTTTGCAAAGTATTTTAAGACTCTGATTTTGGAAAGGTTCAAAGAAATAGTAAAAATAAACGCAGGAGAAAGCTTTTATTATAAGAGTGGATAAAGGACGGACATTAGTGACGGCTAACTGTAGCTGATGTGCTGCTCCTCGTGGGTGTTGAACTGGGTTCTTGCTGCGTACAGTAGAGCCGCCATAAAGGCTCCGTTGTTCATTACCAGCGACAGGATGGTGGCCATTTTGAGAGCTGGAAGGATGAAGGGAAGCAGGCTGCCCAAAAGAACGACGGGGAAGATCAGCATGGGCACTGCCACCTGCATCATGGTGACTTTGTACGAGTTCTTCTTCTTTCGTTTACCCAGCACCCCACCGCCTCCCTCACCCCCTGCCGCACCCCCTCCCCCTCCCAACGCCCCCTGCTGCTTGGAATCCCCCTCCGCCTCTGGTTCGTAGTTCTCCACACTCCCGCTGTTGGCACCTCCGCCACCAATTGATGGGAGGTTCATCAGGTTCAGATCCATCTCCTCCGTTTCACGTCTTCTGGAACGACCCATCCGAGATTTGGGAGCTGTTTTAAAAATGAAAATGATCATACATAAATTTAAAGTTACATAACTCTTAAAAGAATTCAAGCTAAATTATTACCCACAGCAGACTGCAAAGATTTTTAACATATATTCAATTGAAATTCCTAACCTGGACTTCCCAATCACTTATTTGGGACATGCATAGAATATTTCAAGATAATCAAAGCCACGCTTAGTTTTAAACCAACCAAACTTGTTATAAGAAAAGCTTCATTAATATAGTATTATCAAAATGTGTGAAAGTTAATTAATGGCTGCTTATAGAAATCAAGTGAATGAATTTTAATGTGGAAGTAGATGTATGACCACATACGTTCTAATGAATTTCGAAAGGTCAAAAATAAAAAGTTAATTTCAAGCTTGCGTAAATTGAAAAGGGATTAAGTCATTTATGGTTTATCTTTAGCAAATCAAGATTTAGTAGTAGATGAAACCACTAAATTGAGTACTATTTATAAGTCATGTTTTATTTGGTTTCCGGTAATTGTTTTTTTTTGTTACTTATTTTGCTAATATAATACTCACCCTTTTTGAGGGAAATCTTTATTTTATTATCCTTGCTGGGCACGATTTTCACCATCATTCCGGACAGGAAGTGCATTTTGAGATCGCGATGCTTGAAGAACCGCTGGAAGTTGACCACCAACCGCTGGTTGAGTTCCTTCTCGGACATTTTCTGGTACTTTTTGCCCACGAGACTGCCCATCTGGGTCTCCTCGCCGAAGAACTGGTCCACAAAGTCCCTTGTAAGATTGCCACTGTTGGGCATCTGGCGCCTTTCCTCCATCTTCTGCAGCACGTACAATTTCGTGCAGTGTAGCATGGTGAACTCACGCAGGCACTCGTAGATCCGCATCGGAATCGACGCCCTAAAGTATGACGCACTATTCGCCGAATGACTGCGACCTGTGGTTGGGTTCGTGTCTTCGCTAGGAGTCACTGCATCTTGGCCAAGTGTTGAGTGGAAATTCAGTGAGAGACACAGGAGAAGACCAAGCAGGATGTGCCAGGATAAGGATCTAGCTGAGTTGACTCGCATTATGTGGGTACTTTTCTTTTCTGTCAACACAACACAACTGCACCGCAGCAGTGACAGTGGAAAACTGAATGCACATCTTGGCCAAGAGCAGCTGCCATCCTAGCCCGATTGTCTGCCTGCCGTCCGAGTGCCGAATGCCGATTCTCGGACACTACTTTCCTCTGGCCAGGCCAACTGGTTTGCGATCGCCAACGCTTGGCTGGCTCTTAGATTTAGTTTAGCGGGTCAGACGGCAGTTGGTCTTACTTGCCACTTGCCACATGCTACTTGCTACTCGCTACTTGCCACTTGCCACTTGCGACTTGCTAGTTGCCCCACTTGCCTGACTTATGGCCGATACATTCGATTGTTAACAGCCGAAATTCTGAACCATCTGCGTGCATCTTATCTCTGGCAGAATCGGTTCTTTCTAGCCAAGAATCTGGCGCACTTGGCTCGTATTTCATTCGCGTTAACTGTGTCACCAGTGCGTCTGCAAGTAAAAGTAACTCAACGCTGCCCCAAGGTGTCGGTTGAACATGCTATAGTTTCACACTTCATAACAAATAAGTAACAGCAAAACACTTTGTTTAATATTTATGAAGCATCAATGTAAATAATTGCCAACAGTTTAAATACCATTGAAATATAATCATGTATTTCAAAGAACTTGATTATTAGAATAGAACAGAATATTACGTAAATAATATTCTGTTTTGAGAAAGGAAATAAAGTATGGCCCTTAAATAGTTGGTTCTTCTTCTCTACTATTTTATCATTATTATTATAATTTTTCTAATGCGCAAACATTACTTGAATTTCTCTGTTGACAGAGTGCAAAACGGCAAAAATCGCCATTAAGTGGAGCAATTAAATCCGGATTCGAGATGATTGAGCGGCTAGATCGTTAGAAAATCGATACGCTTTGAATTAAATATCGATGGATCAAGTGAGAGTTAATTAATTAGTCGCTTGCCATAATGAGTATGAGTTTAGTCGAGGAGAAATCCGGACCCCAGACAATTGTCGGTGTTGGTATTTCGACTAACTGTGACCCATTTCGATTATTTTGGAACTGGGAGTATCAATTGACTTTCTATACGAGCCACATGGCGGAAGAGCAGTTAAAAGAACCGTAAATCACGAACGCCCTCCGTCGAATTCATAATGAGATAGAAATTTCACTTTCCATGAAAGCTGCAGAAAAACATACGCAATCGAATCAAATCCATGGGCGCTGTCAGCAGGAAATTTCGATTATTGATTTGCTACTAAAATACCTGATATATATAAATATTTTTTCAATGCTTTTATTTTTTGTAAAACCTTTTTCATTGGAAATTCTTACTAAGATCAACAATCTGTTGATGAAAGTTTGTTGATTTAGATTGTTCTTTTCATTCAGCAGACTAATCTTCATTATTATTCTACAACAAAGATTCTCTGCTGATTGACTTTGCCATCCTTGACTTGTAATAAATAAATAAGTTAAATAAATAATTTAAACTAGACTTAAATTATTATTTGGTTGCATGCTCGCTGAGGCTGAGGTAAATTTGAATCCTGGCCTGCTACCAGCTCGCCGTTATCCCTCTTTCATCGTAAAATCCTTTCTTAATCGATTGATCTTATTACCACTCCTTCTCCAACCAGACGGGCTGCTGGGTGTGCGAATGGGAGTAGACCACGGGCACTGGAGCCTGGACGGGAACGGGAGCAGCAGCGTAGGCAGCGGCTGCCTGGACGGGAAGCGCACGGGAGAGCATCTGGCCGATAGCCAGCACCAGCAGGATGACTCCCACGCCCAATCCCTTGATGGAGACCACGGTCAAGGCCGCCAGGAGGGTGGTAATCACACCCACTACGAAGGCGCCGGGCACCAAGGCGAAGCTGATGCGACGCAGGAAGTGATGGCCAAAAGTACGGCTTTCTGTGGGAAAAAAACAGAATATAAAAAAACATTATGATTTAATAAATAGAAAACAGTATAATGAAAGAGAATATATCGATTGCATATATTATAAAATACAAATTCCACTTAAGTAACTTGTATTATTTTATAGAAATGATTGAACTAATGTTTTTAGTTTACCACGAGCACCAACCACAAATATTATAATTTATAGAACTTCAAACACAAAACTTGTTTAAAAAATGTTGTATATTTTTGCACTAACCCTCCACATCCGTGGCCGCATCGGAGCTGTTGGCCGCCTGCTGCTGACCCATCACCAAATCACAGGCCAAAACGAGGCACACGAGGGCAAAAACAATCTTTTGGTTGGCGGCCATTTCGATTTGATTTGATTCCTTGGGGGTGAGTATCTGGTAATCCGTTTGACACTGCACTGCTCGACTCCGGCACTGGCTAACAATTGAATGGAGGGCTCACATTGACATTGGCTTTTATCGAGGAGGGTCTTGGCCGTCACACTGGGCGGCTACTTGAAATTCGGCAGCCGGACATCGCGCAGCCGCAGCGTAGCACGAACGTGCGCCAAAACAAGCAAATCGTGCCGCTGCCATACGACTAAGAGTGCCACCAGACAGCCCCCGACTCAAAGATGCCGGTACACTTTAGGAAATCGATGTAAAATAGTTTGTTCTTCTATTCAGAAAACCAATTTTTTCCAGAGCATTTGGTTTTTGATAGTAAATATGTGCAGCAATTTTTTTATAATTTACTTATAAGTTGTTTATTACTAAAAACCAAAAAAAAACTTTTTACAATATAATTTTTTACATTTATAACGCTAAAACCTCCATAAAATAAAAAAAAAAAAAACATTATATTTCAATGTGGAATGCTTTATCTTCAATATTCATTGTAGTCGAATCCATTTTAATTAAAAATGAAAAAAAAAACATTTTTATTTTTTTGAAAATTTTGTAACCCCTTATAACATTTTTGTGTCGATTTTAATTTTTTGGAAAACTAAGAAAAAAAAATTTTTTTATTCTTGTCAAAAATGTTTTTGTTGGAAATAAACATAGAAAAAAACGTTGCTCATTGAAATTAAAGATTTTTTGTGCATTTTTGAACTACGAAACCTAACAAAAATCTGCTTTTACTATGTAGTTCAGTTTTAAGATTTTAATGTGACAGGTATATTTAATTTGTATATTAATTTTTTTTCGTGCACTCCTTTGAATATGCATGCAGTCTGTCATTATTTTCACTGCCGCCAAGGGCCCTTTTTGGGGCCCATCGCATTTGGGGGTGTGCTGCATAGGAACTTGGGCATGGAACTTGGACATGGGCATTCTTTCACGACGCGTGTCTATATTGAGGGCAGCGCCCAAGTCATCGTCACTTCGAATCGATCACTTCGATTCGCTTTCATTTTTCGTCGCTGGCCGATAATGATTTATCAGCTAATTAACAATGAGGTACTGCATTTTAATGTACAATCTATACTTGTATTAACAAAACCGCAACTATGTTTCACTCCCCACCTGAGTAACGGATTTTCATTAATGAATGTGCGTTCATCCACGCCCTCTGCATTGCAATTCACTTTCATTGACGGAAATAAATGAAAATGCAAATGGCTAGTGGCTATGTTTTAAGCTGTTTGCAAGGCAGCGACATTAATATAAGTTTTCTATAAGTTGTATAAGATCGTTTTCTTTTCCTTTTTTCAAAATGATATAGAACAAATTTTTGTTCTTGAAAATCAAGATTTAGATTGTGACTAAGCAATTACGTGATACCATATTCCTTGCATTTAATTTGGCATGTTTGGACTTTTATTCGTAACGGATTAGCCGACTTTTTTATTGACAAAAGATAAGATTAGCTGGTGTGTGCTACTTGTTATCGAACCGTGATATTGTGGAAATAAAATATCGACGTCCACGTTATTGGGGAAATAAAAGCCTTGCTACCGCAATCGATCCACATAAAGATTTCCCTACGGCTAACTGGAGTTTTTGCTGGCTAATTGTGTGAAAGTAAATTAGGAGACCAAATATGTATTGCGGATTTTTCGCCACTGCCGATGGATAGAATTTACTTTCTACTCTGGATTTCCAGAGCGATCTCCCCCAGTTTTGTCAACAACTTTCCCATGCGATGGCCGTCAGCGTTAATTGAAGGCGTCTGAATCCGAATCTGAATCTGAGTTGAAGTCTGTGGGGTAAAGAATGGAGACGGGAACCGTTAGCAGGCTACTTAGACGGCCAACATAATTTATGGCCAACGTAAATACCACTAGAGGTGATGCAGGGGAGCGGAGGGGCAATTAAAGCTAAAAGAAATCAATGAGCGAGATCACTGAGAAATTGCAGGCCTACTCCAGATATTTTTTTTTTTTCTCCGATGGCTTCTAACACAGACGTCGACCTGGTCGGCTGGCAACTTAATTGAAGAGGATCCAGTGCAAGAATCGTGTTCTAGCGGCCAGTTGCCAGCTTGCCAGTTGCAACCTGCAAAGCTGCAACACTGCACTGCAACACCGGCGACAGGTTGCCGCTGCAGCGGCAACTTCTTGGTCTCTGCCAGTTGTCTGTGCTCAATTCCGATGCCAATTCCAGCCTCAGAATGCAGCTAGCTTTGGATTTGCGGCGGCTTCTCAGTCGCGTTTTCTTCGCGCTTTCTTCGGAGTTGATAAAACGCTTGGCCGCCGCCGATCGTGCCACATTTTGCGTCTGGTCATTGCAGTGGCAGCACGCCGATTCAGATACTTCGAGCAGACGAGACACTGAAATGCTGAGATGAGCGATCTGGTGCGATTCCTTTTACTGAGCGTACTGCTCTGCAGCTCGCTGGCTTTGAGTTTGGGCCAGGACAGCGATGCCGATGGCCAGCAGGAGACCTCGACAGTTAGTCCGGAGGCAGCTCGAGGACTGGCCAGCAGCTACGAGCCGGAGGACAAGCAGACACTGCGAAAGAACTCCCACATCTACATGGGCATCTACAAGAACTACAAGAGCACCTATCTGGGCAACAAGACCACCAGTGAGTACAAGAAACGCCTGCGAGATCGCGTGAGTGCTCCTCAAATGGTGGAGAATGAGGCTCCCGAGTCGGTGGATCCCGAGCAGCTGGATCCCAAGGATTCGCTGGCCCAGGAAATCCGACAAGATGCCCAGGCGGAGGCTTTGATGGAGACTCAAACGGAGTCGCCCAATTACGACGACAGTGACTCTTTGGCTGCCAAGAAGCGACGCAAACGAAAGCGCAAGGATCGCAACAAGCGAAGGGAGGATGTGGAGTCCGAAACGGGTCAGCCAGATCTTTCCGCGGGAAATGAGGGCATTGAGCGGTATCAAGTGGGTCCTGGACTGAATGTGAGTCTGGATATGAGCAATGATATTGTGCATGTGAAGTTGGATGGCCAGAATCTGAAGGAGATTATAGCTGCTCGCTGGCTAAACTTAGATAATAGTGAAGAAGGTGGGTTCAGTAGTTATTAAAGTACATTAAATATAAACTAAATCACCCACTAAAATATTCTCTAGGTCGCGGCAAGAAGTACGACATGATCACCAAAGTCCTTCCACTCTTCATCCTCCCCTTCCTCATCCAATCGGCCATTGTTCCCTTTTTGGTCACCAAACTGAAGCTGCTGCTGGTCAAATCGATTCTGGTGGGCAAGCTGGCCATCTTCCTGCTGATCATCTCGGCCATCAAGAACGGCAACAAGACGGTCCAGAGCTACGAGGTGCCCTCCTATTGGGCCGGCGAACCCAGTCGGAGGTCCGAGCTGGCCGCCGCTGCCTCCTCGGCGGCTGCCGCCTACAATGGGTACAGAGTGGAGGGCAAGCCCACCACCTGGATCAGCTAGACCATCTCACCTTGCTTTAAGTTTGGGTTGTAGGCTTTTAGTGCTTCGCAATAAACATACACACAAATCGGGTTGATTAACTGGCTTTTCCTTTGGATCGATTTAAGATCTGGTTTTAATGAAATGCTCAAGATTCAATTCTATATTTTGGAACGTTAAACTTATGTTATAGTAGATTTATGAATGAAAGTCAGAACATTTCTTTATCTCTTAATACATAAGCGATCACCGATAAACCAAAAGAAAAGTGATTGCAGAATTTTATATAAAAGTTATGTGTTTATTGATAGCATTTGTTGTGGCAATAAATTAGCGGTGGGATCAAATAAATTAACTTAAGCTAAAGATTCTTAACGGGGCTCGACCAGCGCCCCAGTCCTGGATAACTTTTCCAATCGTTAAAGCCTCCTCTTAGTAGCAGGAGTACTGCCTTTCCAGCTGGACGCACACTTGGCACTGGAGTCGGAATCCCCAGACCAGCTTGCAGTTGCACCTCCGCTCGGTTCTCACGTGCTGGGATCGCACACGATAGCCGCAGACTCGGCACAATTGCTGGCAGGAGAGGCGCTCCTCGAGGGAACCACTACCATCTTTGGAGCACTGGCGACCACGAGTTCCCTTCCACAGACCCTGGGCGTCGGGTTCGCAGTAGTTGGGCGAGTCCTGCATGAAGACCAGGGAATCCAAGGGAATGTTCTCCCACATGATCTTCAGATTGCTGCTGGCACTGTCCAACTGAATGGCATCGTCGTACATTTGCAGGATATCCTGGGCGATGGCTTCAAAGGGCTTCAGTACAGCCACGCACTCCTCCTCGAGGCATTTTCCCGGTCCTGGTTGCTTGCATCGGCACTCCTGCTCCAGGGATCTCTGGAGAAGAGCTCCAACCACCCGACGATTGTGGGCAGTTGCTCCTGATCCCGATCCAAATCGCTTTTCGTATTGCTCCAGTGCTTTTGCGGGCTCATGGGCACAGGGAACATTGAGTGCATTCTCAGTGCATCCGCATCCTGCGATCACTCCATTCGCACAATCCTTGGTCAAGGTGTGAACAATGGCTGCCATGGAGATGACGGCCACGTAGACATCCTCTCGATTCGGTGAGGTTTCCTCTGGCTTTAAGTTCCTCTTGAAGAAATCCTGACTGGGGCAGTTCCATCGCTGCCACTGGAAACTCCGCTGGCAGCTTTCCAAGGCCTGCTGATGACCCTTTTCGGTGATGTCCTCCCAGGAGAGTGGAGCCTGGAACTGGGTGTACTGGTAGTAACCCATGGGCTCCATGACTCCGGCAAAGGTGCTCGAAACACCGAGTAGTAAAGTGATGGCAAAGAGCATGTTGTATGATCTCTTGTTGTGTATAATTTGTGATGTTGTCTGTTCGATGTCGTTGGCTCGACTGAATGGTGAGGAGAGCGGAGAGCACACTTATATATCCCGGCGATTAGGGCGCCCTCCTGGGGCCGGCCCGTGGGAAATTCTGGCCTGGTTCAAAAAACCGGAAATTTGCCGTTTTCCACTTGGAAATTTTACATGGGCAGGGGGTCGTTGGAACTCCCGGCATCACAGGCATCGGGAATAAAACCCACTGGCAGCCCGCGACGCAATTGCGGAGCAGCCCAGTTTCCTGCGACTACCTGCCTTCGCCCTGCGGAGGATCCTTCTCCTTTTCGGCCGCCGCTCTCAACTTTCCCACGCTTAGGCAGGTAGATCCTGCTCATGAATGAATCCCGGCGGAGTCCATTCAGATCGGCAGGACTTTCCCGGCCACCCACTGCACAACATCAATGTCCGATGCGGACGCGGGTTTGTTTGGGTTTTCGACCGGGCAAGCCAATTATATAACAAAACATATGACAAACAGTAAATCTAAGCTGGGAAATTAATTTGTGGTGAGCCGGCGGAAAGAGCCGGCATTGTTGCCGTTCTCAGCCGAAGTTAATGCCACGGATTAAGATACATTATCTTCGAAAGCGTTGGGTATAAATATCCAGATATTGATAAGCGGAGTTTCTATTTGTAGTCCTTGGAATATTTGGGGATTTTATTTAAGGGGAAGATAGGTATGCTCACCAGGAGCATTACACACTTTTTTTGAGTTTAGATTTTAAAGTATGTAGAACTTTAAATAACTCAGTTATAAAACCAATGAAAACATACACGTGCTCACACTTATTAAATATAAGTTATCAATACAAAAATCAATGTTTTTTCTGATATAAAGATAGTAAATGAAAAGAAAAGGTAGCCTATCTCGACCCTGAAAATAATCACTTGACAATGATAACTCATCAGCACTTCAAAGATAATGTAAATGTACATTTTATAAGTTTACGAACCGCTTGTAGATCAATAAAAGTGAAAACCAACAACTTTTATGGGAAACTTCCCTTTTTTCCAAAGTCATTATAGGTACTCCGATTCCAGGCGTTGCGAAAACGTGTGCGGAAATTTCGATGTTTGGGTTTTAACACAATGAAAATACCGATTCTCTAATTAGGTCGAAAGTCTCGTACGCGCACAGCACCGGAAAAGGGTTTTTTAGGACCTAAGCGCCGGGTAAAACAGAACCAGAAAGGGAAAGATATATCGCAGGTAGTAAAAAAATTGCTCAATTGGTCTCGTAAGCCTGAGCAACCGAGGGATACGAACAAGGAACACATATGGGCCTTGACACCGGGAGTTCCTCGGGGCTCAGCAGTCAGCTTGGAATTCCGACCCGGCGAGGAAAAACGCGCCAGATCTTTGGCATTTCTAAGTTTAATCAAAGCGCCATGACACGGGGCTCATAAATTCGGGCGATTGTCAGCCGGCGCACTCGCTTCATATGTACATATGTTCCGGCTAATACCGTTCAAGCGGCTCATCGAGTTGCGATTAGATTAGCAGTCAACCAATTAAGATATAGGGTCCCACTTGAGGTGCAATCAACATTTTGCTGTTTTAGCTTTGGAATCGCTCAGTTTCGCTTTGGACTCCGCGCGTGCTGGATTAACGTGGCCATGATTGTCACCGCGAAGTTGGTAGCCATTGGCTTGGGCCTGGCCCTCACAGCCTTCACCGTTTCGACCATCGTCCTGGCCGTCCAGAAGGCGAATCTTAAGAGCGATCTTCGCGATGCCCAGGAGAAGCTGGATCTTCTGGAGGCGGGGTTTACCACAACGGCTGCTCCGACGACTGGGAGCACTGCGAATCCTGGCAGCACTAGCAGTCCGGATCCCACGGCCTCTCCAGGATCAACTGCCTCTCCAGGAACTACAGCTTCTCCCGATCCAACTGCCTCTCCAGGATCCACAGCCTCTCCCGCTCCAACTGCCTCACCGGGAACCACAAGTGAACCAGGAACCACTGCTTCTCCGGCGGAGAAGATCGACTACCGACTGCCCGGCAATCTGATACCCACCCACTACGATCTGTATCTGTTTCCCAACATAGAAACTGGTGAATTCAGTGGCCAGGAAACGATTACCATTACTGTTGCAGAAGCCACCGATAAGATAGTGTTGCACTCCCTCAACTTGAATATTTCGAGTGTTGCTGTTATGAACACGGGAAGTGATACTCTGCAGGTCCTGGAAACGTCCTTCGATGATGTGAGGGAGTTCCTCACATTCCAGCTGAGCGAACCCCTAACTCAGGGCAGAGAAATAAGGCTGCATCTGGGATTCGAGGGATCCATGGCCAACAAAATCGTGGGCCTGTACAGTTCTTCGTATGTGAAGGAGGATGAAACTCGCAAGTGGATTGCCACCTCCAAGTTTGAACCCACCTACGCTCGCCAGGCGTTTCCCTGCTTCGATGAGCCTGCTCTAAAGGCAGAGTTCACCATCACCCTGGTGCATCCTTCCGAGGAGGATTACCACGCCCTGTCCAACATGAACGTGGAGTCGACTGTCCCTCAGGGAGCCTTCCAGGAGGTCACCTTCGCGAAGAGCGTGCCCATGAGCACCTACTTGGCCTGCTTCATCGTCTCCGACTTCCAGGCCAAGCAGGTGGACATCGACACCAAGGGAATCGGGGAGACCTTCACCATGAGTGTTTATGCCACCCCAGAGCAGCTGGATAAAACGGATCTGGCTGTGGTGATTGGCAAGGGAGTCATCGAGTACTACATCGACTACTTCCAAATCGCTTATCCGCTGCCCAAACTCGACATGGCCGCCATTCCCGACTTCGTCTCCGGAGCTATGGAGCACTGGGGACTGGTCACCTACAGGGAAACGTCGCTATTGTACGACGAGGAAACCAGTTCGGCGACCAACAAACAGCGCATCGCCAGCGTGATTGCCCACGAATTTGCTCACATGTGGTTCGGAAATTTGGGTGAGTAAAATATGACTATATTCAGTAATTGCAACTAAAACACGGGGTATAATTATTAAAATCCAAACCACTTATTAAAGTATATAATAACGAACTAAAAAATGTGCTCTACTGGGTTTGCAAAGTCAACATCAATCAACAACAATGTTGCTAACTCAACAATTATCAACAATCTTTTCAACTTAGGTTGCTGCAAATTGTTCATAAATAACTTGGAAGAAATGTCTCTTCAAAAACCCCAGTAAAACTTTTTACTGTCTATTTACTGTGCAATTTTAAACTTGAATCACTTGCCTATGATATTCAAAAAAAAAAGGTTCGCAGTGTAATAAATAACTTGGGAAAAAACGTATATTTGCAAGTCTACTATTTAATACCCTCTCAGCCATAAATCAAAATGATCACTCAATATACGTTATGATTTTGACAAGTTTACGAGCTTGTGCTTATTGCACAATTTATTAGACCTTTGCATTATAAATCTAAATTTGCTAATACAATACAATTATTGTACAATACTAACAATAAACTATTTTTTAAGTAACCATGAACTGGTGGAACGATCTGTGGCTAAATGAGGGATTTGCCAGCTTTATCGAGTATCTCGGAGTTGATGCCGTTTACCCAGAATGGAAAATGGCAAGTGATGCAAGGATATAGAAATAAAACCGTTATTCAATTTAAAATTTCTAATTATAAAGCGTGACCAATTTATTGTGAGCACCCTGCATGCAGTTCTCACCTTGGATGGAACTCTAGGTTCTCACCCAATCATCCAGACCGTCGAGAATCCCGATCAGATCACTGAGATCTTCGATACCATCACCTACTCCAAGGGATCCTCCCTCGTGAGAATGTTGGAGGATTTCCTGGGGGAGACCACTTTCCGTCAGGCGGTTACCAACTATCTGAATGAGTATAAGTACTCCACCGCGGAAACCAGTAACTTTTTCACAGAGATCGACAAACTGGAACTGGGCTACAATGTCACAGATATTATGCTAACTTGGACGGTTCAGGTAAACCGATTGTTTCTATCCCGAAATTTGCAAATATTTCAACCCAATTTTTTGTTGTCCCTTTCTGGTTTTTGAAGATGGGTCTGCCGGTGGTCACGATTGAGAAGGTCTCCGATACGGAATACAAATTGACGCAGAAGCGCTTCTTGTCCAACCCGAATGACTATGACGCCGATCACGAGCCCTCGGAATTCAAGTGAGTGAGCGCAGAACTTATTGCCTTTCTGTTATCTGATTGCGAATTTCGCACATAAATTAACTGTGTAGCTACCGCTGGTCGATCCCCATCACATACACCACCAGCTCGCAATCGGAGGTGCAACGGGCCTGGTTTTATCACAGCCAGAGCGAAAGTAAGTAGTGCCATCTGTATTCAGATCCACGACTCCCCCGATTGCTGATCTCTAAATTTGTTTCCTTTTTTTTTGCAGTCACTGTAACCCTTCCCGCGGCGGTTCAGTGGATTAAGTTCAACGCCGATCAGGTGGGCTACTATCGGGTTAATTACGCCGCCGATCAGTGGAAAGATCTGGCCGATCAGTTGGTGGCTGAACCAAGTTCATTCAGTGCCGGAGATCGTGCCTCCCTCCTCAACGACGCCTTTGCCCTGGCCGATTCCACTCAGTTGCCATACGAAACCGCCTTCGAGTTGACCAGGTATCTGGCCAAGGAGGCCGACTACGTTCCCTGGAGCGTGGCTGCTTCCCGACTCACTTCCCTGAAGAGGACCCTCTACTACACCACTAGTTATGCCAAGTACAAGAAGTACGCCACGGCCTTGATTGAACCCATTTACACGGCTTTAACGTGGACGGTTGGGGAGGATCATCTGGATAAGTAAGTTGGATGAAATATTTATAGGAAAATTTTAAAGGTATCAATTTTATGATTAAGATGATCAAATATAATAATTATTTGGTGTGACATCTTTATAACATCTTTTTAATGATTACGATTTTTAATTTCTTTATAATTTCTTATGCAACACTTCTTTTTATCCCCAGTCGCCTTCGGGTCACCGCTTTGAGTGCCGCCTGTTCCCTTGGCTTGGAGTCCTGTCTCTCTGAGGCTGGACAGCAGTTCAGCAATTGGCTGGCCAAACCAGAGGATCGTCCCAATGCCGATGTGCGTGAGACCGTCTACTACTATGGAATCCAATCCGTTGGAGAGCAGGAGGTTTGGGACGTGGTGTGGGAGCTCTTCGTCAACGAATCCGATGCCAGTGAGAAGTCCAAGTTGATGTACGGCCTGTCTGCCGTGCAAACTCCTTGGATTCTTAAGCGGTACATTGACCTCGCCTGGAACGAGACGTACGTGAGGGGTCAGGACTACTTCACCTGCTTGACCTACATCTCCGCGAATCCTGCGGGAGAGTCCTTGGTGTGGGACTACGTTCGTGAGAACTGGCAGCGATTAGTGGATCGATTTGGTCTGAACGAGCGCTATCTGGGCAACCTGATACCCTCGATCACTGCCAGATTCAGCACCCAAACCAAGCTGGAGGAGATGGAGCAGTTCTTCGCCAAGTATCCGGAGGCTGGAGCCGGAACTGCTGCCCGAGTGAGGGCTTTGGAGACTGTCAAGAACAACATCGTTTGGCTGGCCGAAAATCTGGAGGGAGTGGACGCCTGGCTGGACAAACAAGAACTGTAGGAATGTCCAATGGGGAAGTGGTCTTTCGCCCACGAATCACATTAAATTTGTACTCATCTAATGGCCATTATAAAGCAATCACATGCCGAACAAGTAAAAATAAAGATAGGGGAAAAACAGAAATTACACCTCTATAAATTAGCAATTATCCATTTAGCTGATTGATAATGGAAACATGGTTCGATTTGATAACAAGTTTCCTGTGCGAGTGACTAATGCACAAAAACTGATTTTAGTGACATTTATTGCAGGTTCGAATGTTCGTGTTAAAGTTACGAGCTAGAGAAATATTTTTTTTTTTTATGAAATCCCAAAGAACCCTGTGTTTTCTCACAGTATTTAAAAAAAAACGTTCATTTTCAAAACAATAAATCAATCATTGACAAAATACCTAGAAATGTAATCTTTTAATTGGTTATTAAAGATGTGGTAGTTATTGAACTATATCAACACAAACTAACCTTGGCAGAAATTTCTATGCAATATCAATTTGAAGCTCGCTATTTATGTTTGCAATTGAAGTTTGCAATTTAAGTTTTGCATTTTAAGTTATATAATCTTTCATTGATTTAAAATTAATGGGTGGTTATTAAAAATGATGAGTGTAGAATTTTATAATCTCCTATAAATACTTGTTCCATTTTTTTTCTCAGTAAGACGAAGCGAAAGTAATTGAGATGGTGATTTATGGTTTCAAGGAGGGGATAATAGTGTGAGATTTGCTCGAACGATGTGGTTGAAGCCATAATATTTCTATTGTGTCATAAGCGATGTATTCCCATTTTCACTCTATGGGCAGCGGAGATCCCTGGCTGTTGCCCTATCGATTTGCTGACCGTAATCGCGGCTATTTGTCCAATCTTTATCGCAATCGTGTAGGCGAACATAAACCAATTCGAGTGCCCGCAATCAATTTGAGTCGAATATTGGGCAGCAAACTAGACCGCTAGTTAGTCGCTTTCGATAGGTGCGATTGCAAAGATGTTCTTGTCGACTTATTGGCTGCAGGTGGTGCTCTCCTGGGCGGTGGTTGCCTTTGCCACGGCCACGGTGGTTGTGGCGGTGCAGAACGCCAAGCTGGAAAAGGATCTGAAGGATGTCCAAGAGAAGATCGACATCTACGAGCAGTGGAATGGAGAGAGTAGCAATCTGCGGGCCAAACGTGAAGATACGGTGCGTGAAAGTGTGGTGTATATTTAATCAGTTAAACTAGATTGGGAAATCCCCCCTTTAGATTGATTACCGATTGCCCACCGCGCTGGTGCCCATTCACTACACGCTCTACTGGCATCCGGATCTGGAAACAGGTACCTTCACTGGCCAGGAGACGATCCGAATCAGTGTGGTGGAGCCCACCAACCAGATTATCCTGCACTCGTACCTTTTGAATATCACGAGTGTCTATGTCCTGAATCGCGTGGTGGATAATTTCGTGTTGGAGGAGGAGCGACAGTTTCTGATCATCAATTTGACTGAAGAGCTTGCGGTGGGTGCCACTATCACCCTGGGAATCATATTCAATGGTCAGACGCAGGACAAGCTGGTGGGTCTCTACAGCAGTTCCTACTTAAATGAAGCGGGAGCTATTAGGTAAATATCTATAATTTATTTTATCAACTGAAGCCTGAAAGTATGCAAGCCAATTAGCTAGATTATTCTTTATTTTGTATTTAACCCGAATTATTATTTATTGACAGAACCATTGCCACAACCAAGTTTGAGCCCACCTATGCCCGCCAGGGCTTCCCCTGCTTCGATGAGCCAGCAATGAAGGCCACGTTCGCCATCACAGTGGTGCATCCAACTGGTTCCTATCATGCCGTTTCCAACATGCAGCAAACTGTAAGATCAACTTTAACTTAATCAGAAAAGGAAACCCATTAAAACTCTTGAAAACCCCTCCCAGGATTCCAGCTATCAGGGAGATTATACAGAGGCAATCTTCGAGACCAGTGTGTCGATGAGCACCTACCTGGTGTGCATCATTGTGTCCGACTTCGCCTCCCAGGAAACCACAATCAACGCCAACGGCATTGGCGAGAACTTCTCCATGCAGGCCTACGCCACTTCCCATCAGATCAACAAGGTGCAGTTTGCTCTGGAGTTCGGAGCAGCCGTCACGGAGTACTACATTCAGTACTACAAGGTTCCGTATCCCCTGACCAAACTCGACATGGCCGCCATTCCCGATTTCGCCTCGGGAGCAATGGAACACTGGGGATTGGTCACCTACAGAGAAACCGCTCTGCTCTACGACGAGAGCTACAGTTCCACGGCGAATAAGCAGTCGATTGCCGGAACTCTGGCCCACGAGATCGCCCACCAGTGGTTCGGAAATCTGGTCACCATGAAATGGTGGAACGACATCTGGCTGAACGAGGGATTCGCTCGATTCATGCAGTACAAGGGAGTGAATGCTGTCCACCCGGATTGGGGAATGGTAAGCTCTGGATCTAAATTAAGATGGGTTTGATTGAACAAGGTTTATATAATTTTATAATCTTATCTTATCTTAGCTGGATCAATTCCAAATCTTGGCTCTTCAACCCGTCCTGGTGTACGATGCCAAGCTCTCCTCCCATCCAATTGTCCAGAAAGTGGAAACCCCGGATGAGATCACCGCCATTTTCGACACAATCAGTTACGAGAAGGGAGGTTCCGTGATCCGCATGTTGGAAATCGTCGTGGGTTCCGATAACTTGGAGCTGGCGGTGACCAATTACCTGTTGAAGTACCAGTTCAACAACACTGTAACCGATGATTTCCTCACCGAATTGGACGCAGTGATTGGCGAGTTGAGCATCAAGATAATGATGCAAACCTGGACTGAGCAGATGGGATATCCAGTTCTGAATGTTTCCAAGGAATCCGACGGTAGTTTCAAGGTCACCCAGCAGCGATTCCTTTCCAATCCCGCCAGTTATGAGGAGGCTCCCGAAGACAGTGCCTTCGGTTACAAGTGGACTGTTCCAGTAACCTATGTAACTGATGATGGGTCGGAGGGCGGTATATGGTTTGATTACGATGTGGACTCCGTGACAATTCCCTCACCCGGCGAGATCCAGTGGATCAAGTTCAATGCTAACCAGACGGGTTACTATCGAGTTAACTACGATGATAGTTTGTGGACTCAGCTCATTCAGCAGTTGAACAGCAACCCCGAAAGCTTTTTTGTCGGGGATCGTGCTAATCTCCTGGACGATGCCTTTGCTCTGGCGGATGCCAGCCAACTTTCCTACAGGATTCCCCTGGAGATGACCGCGTATTTGAGCCAGGAACGCGACTTTGTGCCCTGGTATGTGGCGGCCAACAAGCTGAGGTCCCTCCATCGCAGCCTGATGTTCAGCGAGGGATATGTGACCTATCTGACTTATGCCAGGAGTCTGCTCACCGGAGTTTATGAGGAAGTGGGATGGACCGTGGATGCCGACAACCATTTAAGAAAGTAAGGATTCAAGTAAATAAGGGGATTGTAAAGCTTTGGAAAAAGAGTAATTAGGATTGGTTTTTATCTTTCAATTATCAATTTTTCTTATATTAGTAAGGGGAACTGGTTGGTGTCATTACAAATAGATTAATCTTGTTTCCCTTTTCAGTCGCTTGAGGGTATCCATTTTGACTGCTGCCTGTGCTCTGGGTGTCCCAGACTGTTTGGAGCAGGCTGCCCAGCGTTTCAACGCCTTCCTCGAGAACCCTACTAGCCGACCCTCCCCCGATCTCCGCGAGATCGTCTACTACTACGGAATGCAGCAGTCCACCAGTCAGTCAAACTGGCAGAAGTTGTACGATGTCTTCGTAAACGAAACCGATGCCAGCGAGAAGCTGAAGCTGATGTACGGATTGGCGGGGGTTCTGGACAGCCAGCTGCTATTTAACTTCCTGGTTTTGGCGGGTAACGAGAGCATTGTGCGATCGCAGGACTACTTCACCTGTGTGCAGTACATCGCCGCCAATCCCGTGGGTGAGCCCGTGGTGTGGGAGTGGTACCGAGAGCAGTGGACCCAGTTGGTGGCCCGTTTCGGGCTGAACAATCGCAACTTTGGCAGACTCATCGCCCAGATCACGAGTAACTTTGCCAGCTCCGTGAAGTTGGAGGAGGTGCAGCAGTTCTTCGCCAAATATCCGGAATCCGGAGCAGGAGCCAATTCCCGTTTGGAGGCCGTGGAAACCATTAAGTACAACATCGAGTGGCTAGCTGGAAATCATGGTGACATCAACGATTGGCTGAGTGGAACGGCCTCGCCGATGACCAAGAAAAACCTATTGTAAAATATATGTACATATACGAAAAACAAAAAGCAAACAGTCCAATTAACCATTAACTAGAATTGCATAAGAAACCAGCGAAATTTCCGTTCGAGTTCAATAAAATAAAATTCCAAAATCAAACCATAAAATAAAACCCCCATATATTTTTCACTTTATCCGGGCAAGTGGCGATTTCTATGGCTCCAAGGAATTGCTGCAGATAGCAGTTACGAGGGTCTGGTCAGAATGGAATCATGACCATGCGTAATTACGTTAGACTGTCCGGCAATAAAAGCCGATATATGACCTTGTTGTAAACATAAACGTAAAAGACCACAGCGTTATGGTCTAGCATAAACCGATTTTATCTGGTCATGCCGTTCTATATAGTATATAGTCTAGATATCGACCACCAATCTGTATTATCAAGTCCAAATTATAGGGTCAGATTCGCGACTTGCATTCAGTTTCCAATTTGGCTTCCAGCCCAGTGGAAGCAGTCGAGAGTTCTCCGTGAAATAAAAGAGTATCCCTGAAAATGGTTGCCTGTGAGTTTAAAGTAAAGTAACCCAAAAGGACTTGTTACCAATTGAAGTGATTCGCAGGGCTGACGGTCAAGGCAGTGGCCATCTTTTTTGGGCCTGGCCACCACGGCCTTTTGTGTATCCACCATTGTGCTGGCCGTCCAAAATGCGGATTTGGAGAACGATCTACAGGACGCCCTCGATAAAATCGATGCATTGACAGCGGACACCACTTCCACTTCCACGACAACCACCACAGCAAGTCCGAATCCTGGTGATACTACCAGCTCTCCTGCCAGCGGAGGAACCACTGCCAGCGGAGGAACTACTGCCAGCGGAGGAAGCACTGCCAGCGGCGCAACCACTCCCAGTGGAGAAACAACTGCAGGAGAAACAAGCTCTTCCAGTTCCGGAACCACATCCACCACTTCAAACCCCATCTATCCCACTCTGCCCACAGGACTTCCTGATCCTGAACAGGTAAGTGTGCGAGCAATATTATAATAGTTTTACTAAATAGGTACTATTTAATATATCCACTAAACAACTCACACAAGAGGACACCACTTTTTAAATGTATTTTTTTGTACTCAATTTATTAGCTTAGTAAAAAAAACCCCAACGACGGATAGGAAAATTTCCCTGTTGGTCAACTTTGACCATAAAGTCGGCATGGCCACTAATTCCGAATTTATCAAATTTCCGCACAATATATATACATTGGTCATTCCAAGTGCTTATCGCTTGGTAAGCGGGTTTTTTCGTTTTTATCATAATACAAAATCCGTCTACAATTTGGCTAAATTTACGAGTCGCTTAGTTTAGTTTAATACCGGCCAACATAGAGTAAACATCTAAAAATGGGAAACAAAAAGGAAAAGATTAAGGGTAAATATTGAAAAAGAAAGCAGATTGAAAGGAATGAAATGAGAAATATGTATATTCATAGACTGGATCACGGCGGAACGTGTGGCTATATTCTTTGGCCTGCTGTCCACCTGTCTGATTGTTGCTCTCGTAATTGTGGTTGTCCACAGGGATAATTTGTGGATAGAGTTGGACGAGGCCAAGCGGAAGTTGGATGTGCTTGAGGACTACATTCAAAGTTATATGCGAGTTAACATGTCTTACAGATAGTTAAAAGTAAAGGAAATTTAATAAACATCCCTTGCATAATACAGAAAATATGTATATGTATATGTATTAAAAATGATAAAATATGTTAAGCTTTTCCCACTAGCTCATAAATTCTGTTCTTAGTTTCACAATATCCACTGCCTTTATCCCTTAAGTTTAATTATTGCAACGAAGTCCACTTTGTTTACGACGTGACCACAACTTTGCCATTTGGTACCGCTTTCTTATCGCCGCATTGCTCACTTTATAGGGCCATCGATAGTAGGGTGGATATTGACTAATCTTTACAACCCCGCAGATCGAATGGCGCCTGCCCACGGAGCTGACGCCCATCAAGTACAGGTTGTACATTCAGCCCGATCTGACGACCGGAGCCTGCGAGGGCACCGTGTCCATTCAGTTCCAGCTGAACGCGGTCACCAATTTGATCGTCCTGCACGCCAAGGACCTCAATGTGCACAGCATCAGCATCCTGAACATGATGGCGCGCATGCGCGTGGCCATCGATGAGATCAATATGGATGAACGCCGCGAGTTGCTCTTGATTAAGCTGAGGGAGGTGCTCAGTATGAGCAAGGCTTATACTTTATCAGCCAGTTTTGACTGCAATCTGAGCAGCCTGTCGGGCAGCTACATTAGCAACTACACCAATGCCCAAGGGGTTGCAAGGTAAGTTGCTTTAAGAAGTTTTGGTTTATGATAAGGAAAGTCACCTGTCCGCAATTAAGTAAGCTATATTTTACGGTTTTACCGCATCCTTATTTAGCCCCGAATAGGAAAGCTATGTAACGAAATATAAATATTTTTGATGTTGATAACATAGATTAGAAGCTAGAAAATAAGCTTTTAATTAAGCAAACAATTCATTTAAGAATTAATTTTTATCAAGAATTTAAGCCTTTATAAAATTTGTTAAGCAGTATTGGAAAATATTTATTGAGCCTGTTGGGCTAATTAAGATGAATACCCCCAATGCTGGAGTTTACGCTCGTTGGAGGTCCAAAAAAGCCGGTCTCAGCTGATGAGAGAGCTTTCGGGCGAAGCTCAAATGCCGTGGCCGCTTTGGAGCCGCGCTTCAGTTGGAATTTCAAAGCTGAGTGCGTCGGTCGCAAAAGAGCGGGCCGCGTCTTGGAATACGATCTCAATTTCCCGCAGTACGATTCTCGAACCCCCTGCTCCCCCTGCTCCCCCACTCCCGAAAATCTTCCCGGTTTTCTCGTGTGCGCGCCTACGATTTGAATCAAGAATGATAGTTGTCCGCCAATTGCCGTTATCAAATTAGCTGAGAGAATTTTCTCGGACCCGGCAAAGTGACAATTAATGCCATTCGTAGACAAAACGTGACACGAAAAGCTGTGATTCCAACTGTAAATCAAGTAAAAGGCATAGTGCGAATTGCTACGAAAATAATAGATAATAAGTAGATCAATCGAATACCGTTGAGTCCGCTCCAAAAGCTCCGCAACAAACGATCATTGTCACCGCGACCGTTAGGCGATCGCGATTCGAGTTTTAATTGGACGCATTGATGCGGTTACTAATTTTAATATTTGCTGAAATGCGACCACCGGATTCTATGCCAACTTTGACTTTCAGCAGGCAGTGGCAGTCCGGTAAACAACCAGCCATCGCGAGCTGGCCAAGAGAACTCCACATGGCTGAATCAAACAGGTTGCACCGCTCCCCGTTTTTCGTCCCACCATTTGGCCCGCTGCAAACAGGCTTGAAGCCGAATGCATACATAGTTCACTTGCCGCGCAAGTTCTTGGCCTTAAATCGGCCACTGTCGCTGCACTGGAAATAACAGTTGTGCCTAACAAAAGATTTGAAGTACTTTGGTTATCAAAATAACTGAAATCATTTTACTCACTGTAGTATCACTTCAGTATTCTGCACATCAACCCACCTAAATCAGTGATTTCATTTGCATTCCGTCAAGATAAAGACAACACCTAAGTATTCAACTCTGATAATAGAAATTCACTGTTATAACGATTTCATTTTAAAATGTTTTATAAATCTGAGCTCTGCGTTCATGAGAAATGTAGTTTTTATCTGAGATACTTATATCAGGTTATTGGAAATGTTTGCAGTGTTTGTTTGCAGTGTATCTAGCTGTTGCCTGGCTGTTGACCAAGAAATGCGTCGTGTTTACATCTCCAATGCGGCGGATACTCAATGGCCGCTGAGAAAATACTTTCTTCCAAAAGCCGAAACAAAATGGGTCGACATCATTGACTGGCAAGCAACTTGTTGTCATAGTATTCTTCCCCCCTCCGTTTCTCTCTGTGTTTTCTCGTTTTGTTTTGTTCTTGAAAGTTCAGCCGAAGCTCAGTGGTCAAACCTTTTTTCATTTTCATTGACACTGATTTCTTTTTTGTTCTCCTGGGCGAAATAGAAATTCTGCTCAAGTGTGGGAAAGAACCTTCGAAAGTGTAAGGTTTTTAATTGGATTTGTATGCTAATAATTAAAATTAATTGCTGTTGACGGAATTGATTAGGACTTTGGCACCTTTTGTGGGGTGTAAATTACGCACTTAGACAGTTTTTAAGTTCATTGCTCCATAAATTATTTTTTTATGTTTGAGATTTCCTTTTTAACTCAATGAACGCCTATTTGTATTTATATTTGACTTATTGATTGACAAGTTCTTTCAATGAAGCGGGCTGTTTGTTATTTTTAAATAAATAAAAAATGTTTATGATGATACGGATTGACTTTTAGTGAAAAATTCTAGTGCTTGTAATTCGATATAAATATTATTAAGTGTTTACTAGTATAGGGATATTGATAAATATACTTTTTAATAGAGCCCTTAAATCCAAAAATATATCGTAATACTATATGTATGTTTGCGAAGGCTAAAATTTCCTAAGCGAATTTGATAGTCTACCTTTGTTGGAAATGATGCAACCCTTTGATTGATAGTAAATTTATTTCGCATTCCGTTAACCCCAAACATGCAAATTGTGGCAATCATTTCTTTGTCCACCTATCTGCGCCTAATTTATTGTTTTTATTTTAATTTTTTCTTTGTGAATATCGTAAATTGCAGGCACGTATAGACGACCTTTGTCAAGTGTCATCCCATCGCGGGTGTTATGGGTTGTTTTTCGAACTTCTCTGGTTGATGTTTTGTGTTTTGGGTGTTTTTGGGGCGCACTTGTCACGTAAACCGATTTGCATTTTTGTGGCTATTACTCGGCGACTTTGTGTATTGTGAAAGTTATGACCTTAAAAAGCCCGAAGAACGTGTTTCAAATAAAAGCTTTCCATTTCAAATTCTCAAAATTGAATGCAATTGTTATCTCAAGTTAAAATAATTCTTAACCTGTTGTTTTAAATAAAAGGATTCAGAAATTGAAAAAAAAATCTTTTTAGGTGAAATTTATAATTTGTTGATTTGAGTAATATAATTTTTTAGCACGACTGAAATACAATGTAGTACTGAGATTCTAACGCCTTGTTAATTCGTTCTACATGCACTCGACTTGGTTTTCAAAGAAGTAAAAAATTATGCGACTCATTAGCGAAGCATGAGAACTGTTATGTTTATGGATTGTGCCCCCGCGATCTTCGCTTCATCGGCTTTAGAATGCGAAGAGATCCACGTTTGTGCAATGGGGTGTGTCCGATTGCCTCGTGGAAGTTGCAGATATATACATACATATATATATATGTTTGTATGCTCTAGAGAAGAGCCACCAGCTGCCATTGTCTGCAGATCTTCTGGCTGTATTTTTCAGCCGCTCATGAGGTGGTAGTCATGCAATTCGGTTGCCGGCGATGTGCGGTGGCTTTGTGCGATGCTCGCTCCCTAATTGAGTCAGCATTACATCATCCGCGGAAGATGCGAGGAGGTGGGCCATGGGTATCGGAGACAATTGCCCGGCGGCTGGTGAAAATTAGCATATTCTGCAGTCTCGAATTCCTCATTTCGCACAATTTAAACTGAATGCCGTTCGGGTGTATGCGATGATTCGTGTGATACTGCAGCTCCATCGCATATTGTTCTCTTTTAATGTATGTATGCCTTGGCTGGAGTACTCCTACGTCCTGACATAATTGTCAAAACACAAGCCATGGATCTCGACTCTGCGGCCAATTCAATTCATTTCCCTTGCTAATAATGGCATCTGCAGTTTCTTCCCATCGCAGAAAACTCCGCAGATTTGTGCAACAAAGTCGTATATCTGGCCGGTAAATTGACAGGCAAAAAGCCAACAACCTTTTGCGATCCGTCAATCAATTGTACACGGAAAGAAAATTGATACACTTTAATGAAATGATCGTTTTATTAATGGTGATGTTAACAAGGAGAAAATGTATATTTTTATTGTATTATAATGTAATAGGTTTCTGCTTCATTGGTTGGAAGAAGTTATCTGTCAAAATATATTGACTTATTAACTTATCGAATCGATTTTATCAGCACTGAGTTATGCTAGTTATTTGATATCTTTCTTGTCGTGTAAAGACGCCTCTATAGAAAGTGGACTGTGGTGGCCGTATCATTGCAACAAGCCCGGGGATTCGATTGCAACTCTTTGCGGTTAGCGAGCCTAATTCCAACACAAACTTCACTAAAAAATGGCTTCGAGTATTTGTAGTAACAATTTCACGAAATGACCAACTTTATTACGTGACCGCTCGCGGGGATTGGGGGACAAAAATTACAGGCGTTTGATTGATCTGTAGCGGGAAAAATTGAGGCAATCTCCACCTGGAGATGGAGCGAAATGTGACGGAAGCTGAGCTGCCCCGCCTCCTGCTGCCGACACCATAAAAGCCGGGCAAATAAACCCCGGCTTGTTTATAAGCTGCTCGGAGATTATAACAAAAAAAAGTGATGATGGCAACGGCGACGCATGTAATTCAGTACGCGGCTTTTTATGAGGCTCTCGAATTACCTCTCCGATGACACAATAGATTTGATGGAGTTGTAGCATTTGGGGGGAACCTCAGTTCGTGATAAAACTACAGTTAAAGTGAAGCTAACTGATCGCGGTAGTGACTTTAAAAATAAGAGAGAACTCCAAAGTAATGTTCCCAAGTGATTTATAGCTCTAGAACGCCGAGTCAAACCGAACCCAACCCAGTGTAAATAAGTCTTTAAAGTAAACAAATATATAAACAAAGAAGTTGGAAAAACGCAGCATGTATGCAGCGAAAAACGTCCGCCCGCGCAGCAGTCTCTCCACAGATGATAATCATCGGATCAAGGACACCAATCGACCGCACAAGGCTCCCAGCAATACGATCCTTACTTTGGCGGCCTTCTGCGTCTTCCTGCTGGTCCTCTGTGGCTTCCTGCTGGGCGCCCTCGTCTACGTGGGCAAGAATATAGCCGAGGAGCACCAGAGGCAGCAGCAGAATGCGAATGCATCCCAGTGGGCCTTGAACTCCACCATCCGCACGGTTTACGTGGACCGGGACCAGTTGCTATCAACAAAACCCATTCTCAGTGTGCTCTCAGGTTCGTTTTTGGATGGGGAAAATCATTTGAATTGAGCAGAGAGAACAGAACAGGCAGGGGTCATTTATTGGAAAAAATTAATGGACATCACCAGATTGCATTGAAAAATTAACATTTAAGGATTAAGGATGTTATTAAATTTGATAACACAGTCCAAAGAATAATGTTCACTTGAATACGATTTAAATATTATAGAAAATATTCACAAATATTTGTTTTTACTGTCAAATTGTAAATATCATTCAAATTTATGCAAGGAAAATTTATAAGTAACATAAAATCATGTTTGAATTTGGCGCGCTTCTTCTACGGTAAAAAAATACCAAATGGGGCTATCCAAGTTCTGCACCTTTTTTGGGGGTTCTGAAGTACATGCCATTACTCGGCATATTTTGTAAACATATATTGACCCACTGTCACACTGTTCTTAGCTTTTTATGAGACTGATAGCTAGTAGATTAAAAATATTAAGGTTTTTGGGTCTCCAACGACTAATAAGTGATTATTAAACCGTTCATCATAACCAGATAATCGTGTTCACACCACGCAAGTTCCAGCCAGCAGAAAATCAAGTGTAATGGCCACCTTGGCGCCCGCCGTTAAAGCCGCTAGCAAAGTGCTCCAAAATCTGGGATTCCGGCTGCCCAAGCAGATTAAACCGAGCAAGTACCGCGTTCACTTGCGACCCGATCTCGACCGGAAGAACTACTCCGGAAACATAAGCATCAGCTTGCAGGTCCTGGAACCCATCGCCTTCATTCCGGTCCATATCAAGCAACTGAATGTGAGCACCGTCGAGGTCAAGCACCTGGATGAATCGGGTGCTCCGCTCAAGGACATAACACCCTCGCTGACTTTCGCTCATCCTGAGTTCGAGTACTGGGTCACCGAGTTTGAACAGCCTTTGGAAGCGGGAAACTACTCGTTGCGCCTGAACTTCAGTGGATCGCTCACGGATCGGATTACGGGAATGTACCAGAGCTCCTACTTGGACAAGCTCAAGAACCGCTCCAGGTAGCAAAGCTACTAACTATTTCGATCCCAGCATGTCCCCCACTAACCTAGTAATTAAAAAAAATACCACTATAAGTTTTGTTATAAGTACATATGAGTATATTCTTTAAAAATTCAAAAATGAAATATCAATTTAATCCTATAACTACAAATCAAACTAACTATGTAGTTCTGTTAACTGTTTATCCATTTTAAAATGTTCTTAACTTACAATCCCTTTTATTCCTTTTTAGATCGATTGTGAGCACCAAGTTCGAACCCACCTATGCCCGCTTGGCCTTCCCATGCTTCGATGAGCCCGCTCTTAAGGCCCAGTTCACCATCACGGTGGCCCGTCCCTCTGGCGATGAGTACCATGTGCTTTCTAACATGCCGGTGGCCAGCGAATATGTGGATGGCGACCTCACCGAGGTGACATTCGCGGAAACATATCCCATGAGCACATACTTGGCTGCCTTTGTGGTGTCCGATTTTGATTATAAAACGACCACCGTGGAGGGAACCAGCATCGAACTCAGGGTTTATGCCCCACCAGCTCAGGTGGAGAAGACCCAGTACGCTTTGGAGACTGCAGCCGGAGTAACCGCCTACTACATCAGCTACTTCAATACCTCATACCCTCTACCCAAATTGGATCTTGTGGCTATTCCTGATTTCGTGTCCGGAGCCATGGAGAACTGGGGATTGGTGACCTTCCGGGAGACGGCTCTCCTCTACGATGAATCCACCAGTTCCAGCGTGAACAAGCAACGCGTGGCCGTCGTGGTGGCTCATGAGTTGGCACACCAGTGGTTCGGCAACCTGGTGACCATGAACTGGTGGAGCGATCTCTGGCTGAACGAGGGATTCGCCTCCTTCGTCGAGTACAAGGGCGTGAAGCAGATGCATCCCGACTGGGACATGGACAATCAGTTTGTGATCGAGGAACTGCATCCGGTGCTGACCATTGATGCCACCTTGGCCTCCCATCCGATTGTCAAGGCCATTGAGAGTCCGGCCGAGATCACCGAGTACTTCGATACCATCACTTACTCCAAGGGAGCCGCCTTGGTTCGCATGCTGGAATATCTGGTGGGCGAGCCCAAGCTGAGGAACGCCACCACCCGCTATCTGATTCGTCATATTTACAGCACTGCCACCACCGAGGATTACCTCACTGCCGTCGAGGAGGAGGAGGGACTCGACTTTGATGTGAAGTACGTATTATACTTCTAAGCAATGTTCTGTATAATCTAATTTATTTCTGCTGTTTCTTGCAGACTGATCATGCAAACCTGGACGGAGCAGATGGGTCTGCCAGTTGTTCAGGTCGAGAAGAGTGGAAATACCTATAAGCTCACACAGAAGCGCTTCCTGGCCAACGAGGATGACTACGCAGCTGAAGCGGAAGCTTCTTCCTTCAAGTAAGTCTATACATATATGTATATAAAGCACTGATTTCTGATCTTATTGATTTCTTTCAACAGCTACCGTTGGTCTATCCCCATCACCTACACGAGCAGCTTGGACAGTGAAGTGAAATCCACGATCTTCAACCACAACGACAACGAGCTTAGCATTGAGCTTACGGGCGACGCCACTTGGATCAAGTTCAACAAGGATCAGGTTGGCTACTACCGGGTAAACTATGCGGAGGAGCAGTGGGCAGCCCTCACCAATGCGCTTAAGACGTCCCGAGAAACCTTCAGCACCGCCGATCGTGCTCATCTGCTGAACGATGCCAACACTCTGGCGGCTGCCGGACAGCTGAACTACTCCGTGGCTTTGGACCTGAGCACTTATTTGGAGAGCGAACAGGATTATGTTCCCTGGAGCGTGGGAACTGCTTCTTTTGCAACTCTGAGGAATCGTGTCTACTATACTGACCTGTATAGCAACTTCACCACCTACGCACTCAAGCTGCTAACGCCAATTGTGGAGAGCGTTACCTTCACCGTGGGCACTGATCATCTGGAGAAGTAAAAAAAAAATTGTGTTTAAACTTCAATATTCAGATTCACCAAATTTTCTATCTTTACAGCCGCCTTCGCATCAAGGTGTTGAGCTCTGCCTGCAGCTTGGGACACGAGAGCTCGCTGCAACAAGCAACGACCCTGTTTAACCAGTGGCTGGCCAGTCCGGAAACCCGACCCAGTCCGGATATCCGGGACGTGGTCTACTACTACGGCCTGCAGCAGGTGAACACGGAGGCTGCCTGGGATCAGGTGTGGCAGCTGTACCTAAACGAGACCGACGCCCAGGAGAAGCTGAAGCTGATGAACTGCTTGGCTTCCGTGCGGGTTCCGTGGATCCTAAACCGCTACATCCTCTGGGCCTGGGACGAGACCAACGTGCGCCGTCAGGATTACTTCACGCTGCTCGGCTACATCTCCACCAATCCGGTGGGTCAGAGCCTGGTGTGGGACTATGTGCGCGAGAACTGGCAGCAGCTGGTGGAGCGATTCGGCATCAATGAGCGCACCTTGGGTCGCCTGATCCCCACGATCACTGCCCGCTTCTCCACGGAAACGAAGCTGGAGGAGATGCAGGAGTTCTTCATCAAGTATCCCGAGGCGGGAGCCGGAACTACTGCCCGCCAGCAGGCATTGGAAACGGTCAAGTCCAACATCAAGTGGCTGTCGGTGAACAAGGCCCAAGTCGGCGAATGGTTGGCCAACTACGCCCAGCAGTCCGCCGTCACCAATCGCATTCAGTGAGTCGCCAATTTGGCCACTTGCACCCTGTAAAATATCAATATTGTAAAAACTACCAATGGAATTGAACATAGTCTTAGCTAACTAGTGCAGCAATTGCATTTCAATTGTGAACGAAGAATTGTGAATGCTTATGATATTTTTGAAGAAAATACAAGACAAAAACTTATCTAACTTAAATGTTTGCACAAGTGGGAAAATAGTGAACTTGAGAGAGTTTTAGTCTGCCGTGTACAAATAAAATTATCTATGTTTCCAAGTTTCAGCGATATAAGCCAAATTTTTGTTTCGTGATTTGTTGAAGTTTATAATATAATCCATGTGTCATTTGGAAAAAGCAAAACCAATATTAATGTAATGCAACAGATATTTTATTCAGTAAACATTTCCGGCGATTTCTGTCCAAAAAAAGTGCCAAGAGTGCAAAGGAACCTCTTCACGCTGTAGTGGCAGTGGTTTGTACGTTAGCCCATGGACACAGTACAGACCTCAGCAAACAACCGACGAGGGAGTAGCCGGCCTCAGTGGACGGAGTGCCAAGCAACATGATCGTGGCAACTGCTAGGATCGTCATCAGAAAAGTGTAGAACTCCATGGTCACTCGGTAGATGTTTAACTGAGGAGTAATCCCAATGGATCGTAATTTATACTTTGCTGGCTTTTAAAAGCCCTTCTCCAGATGGGAAACTTTATAAATGTTATTTGTGGTTACTCACAAATATTTGCAGTCTTTTGTATTAGGCTACTGAAAGGGCCATATAGACTCATCAGTAAATATGGAATTATCTTACAAACTACAGCGTTCTGCGAAGAAGTTTATTAACAGCACTTTTTGATACAACCATTCTTGATAATTGATACAAAAACCTTCAAAAACTGTGCAATCAATCCAATGATTCCATTCTGTTTTAAACAAACAAATATGTATTAAAATTGTCATCTTTATTGCAGAACTTTAACCTCATCTGTCAGATTTAAGATGCAACGGACATTTTATGCTGTAGTTCGATACGAATTCCCACAGCACATGCATAGCTGTTCCATCTGACTTTTGCAAAATGATGGTTTGTTTATAAGCACACGGATATCGTGAGGAATATATAGCAAAAAGTGCGTTGTGCATAGGAACTATCTGCGCCCGCTTTGCACAGATCCCAGTGACGTAGATGTCCTCCATGTGGACAATTTTCGACTGCATGGCAGCCACATACAATCGCTGCACCACATCCATGGACATGAGGTAGCCTCCTCCGGATAGACAAACTGGATACCGATTGTTCGGAAACATATAGTAGGGCATATAAGATTTGCTACTCGAATCTTTTAGAGGTCGCGCCTCCAACCGTTTCAACCCGAGAAGAATTTCGCTAGTGGCAGAAAGTCTGGATTGATGCTTCAAGGGTTGACGCTTGGAGTTAATAATAACAGGTACAGTGCCTCCAAGTAAAATGTGAACAAGATTGGGAACATTTACAAAGGTGTCGTCATCTGCCTTGAGAACAAAAGCAGTTGTGCTATAACACCTATTATTCACGTTTTTGAGACCCATCACAGTTTTAAGAGTCAGGTTATTGTAGCTATCAATAAAAGATTCCTGAATGATATCGTTGTGTCGATCGGACTCCACTTGGAGTTCCCTCAAGGATTTGAAATCCCTACTCCTTCCAGTTATAAACACTACTCTTACAGAAGCCAAAAGGTTATTATCTTGCTTCGTAAGATATTCGGCATAGCGTTGTATGCGACTTTTTCTTGGAGGATAATACATTCCTTTCAGATGTCCATGCAGTTGGAAAAAGACTGGGTAATTAAAGACGGATGTGTTTCCCCAGGTTTCCCGAATTTCCTGGCGTCTCATAGAGTTGTTAACAGCTGACTCTACTACAATAAGCAAAAAGGTTTTCTCTGCACAGAAATTACGAGGAATTATTGTGGCAGTGTCGTCCATTGGCCAAATGTAATCTCTTAAGTCAAGGGAACCAGTAGGCCAGTCTGAAATTTGATCTGAAAAAAACAATCGATTAGGAATTATTCGGTTTAGTACAGCGACATTTATTTTATTTACTTACCTAATCTGTTGTCGTACTTATAAATCCTGTACCCATTAATAAATGCATCAAGTAGAAGGAGGCAACAAAGAACTCGAAATCGTTTCAACTTAGGCTTAAAAAATAAAATTGCGTATCTCCTCAGCTTTAGATTAGTTGTCATAATGAACGTCTCCTACAAATACTGTTTAGATAATGCAAGTTAGCGACTGCCTAGCTCAAGTTAATGCCAGAGTGAAGTTGTTCAATATTTGCTTACTGTCTGTAGGGTATTGTGCATATTATAATTGTCAATTGGTTGCAATACAATACATTTATGTGGCATGTGGCATAAATGTACATAAAGTGCACTTGTGTGTACGTCATTACTTTTAGACAAATATAATCAGTGGGTTGATTGGCGTTTTATTGTCATTCTACTACTATTTTATTGTAGTCACTCAAGACAGTAGCGAAAACTTTTTCAACTACAGCAAAGAGTGTTTTTTTACTTATATCATCTAAGCAAACTTGATCAGTCTTTGTTTTTAGGCCAGCAAAGCAACGAGTATAAATATCAGCCCGTTTGGATCGAAAGGCAGTTCTTGTTTCAGCAGAGTAAAGCAGCAAGCTAATCACCATGCAGTCCTCCACTTTCCTGATGAGCATCCTGGTGGTTGCCCTGCTCATGCTGTTCAGCGCTCCAGCCACCGAGGCCACCTTCCTCCTCATCGCCTGCATGTTGCGGTCACCACTGTGCCCATGGATCACCACAACCACCACTGGCACTACCACGTGAGGCAATCACATTACCGACTTGACAAGCCACTTGACTAGACCCTCTGGATATGTATCACAAATAAAATGTTCTTTTTTTTGTTGCATTAAGCGTTTGGCATTTCCTTCATTCTTTAGTCAGCTTTTACAAAAGATAAAGGCGGTAATTTTGGATTTCATATTTTCAGCAAACAGAAGAAAGTTACACAAAGATATTAACCATTTTGCCTTGACGCAGCCTTGATAATAATCGCAAATTCAAAACAATATATTTTGTAAAAATCGCACCACCCAAAGGAAAAAAGGCAGACCAAACACATTCAAGGATGAACTTCGAAGACTTTCAATTATATTTTATGTGGATTTTTATGGTATGTTTCTCGGCACACGCACATGATTGGCTTCGATTGTAAGTAAATCCGTTGATTGCCAGATTGCCGACCTTGAAGTGAAACTCTGTCCATATTTATGTGTTTATTATCCGACACGAGGGAAACATTTCGCTGCATACATTCTGGCTGGGCGGCGAGTGAAATTGCGGAACCGGAAACAACTAACGACGCGCTAGTGTTTGTTTAATTCCGATTCCGTCTCATTTTATGGATGGATTTTATGCGCGTTCGTATATGGCCCAAAGTGTTATGCTCTGTGGCCAGCAGAGAGGGACATCAAACACTGTTTTTGTTGACAAGCCCTGACGTAAACAGGACACTTTCCGAAATTGTTTACGAGTGGAATTGATAACACTGCGTAACTGATTAGGAGGCCGCTTGAAAGTCAATCAGAATCACTCAAATGGGCCGTATCCGATGCGCAAAAAATGATGACGACATGTCACTCGAACTCATGTACCGTCGGTTGCCCGTGGGACTGCATAAATTTCGATTCGGAATCGCTGAGTTATCGCCATCATTCGCACAATAAATGACAATATTTTGCAGCAGCAATGGCAGTTCAAGTTGCGCCCCAATAATCTGCTGCCGCCATGGAAACGATTTATCTTTATATGCGAGTGATTCGATTTGATTTCACTCGTAAATTGCCCGGGTCAGCTGCGATTTAAGGTTAAATATCAGTTTTGCCGGAATCTTTAAGAACCGTTTAGCAGCCACACGCCCAAGGTCGCACAATCACAATCGACTTGTCTGGGCCAACTATTAATGCATTGTACGGGGCCCAATTGAGACAAGATAATGAACATCGGCCCGAATCAAGCAGACGGCCAACTTCTGGAGCCGTAACAGCTGCAGGCGCCCAAATTGGCCGTCCAACCGACAGGAGTCGGTTACCAATGCAAGCCATCTCATTTGGCCTTTGTCTATCCCCCTGTGTGCCATAAAGTTTCCCTGCCGCCACCACACTGACTCGCAAAAGTATTCACTCAAAGGAAAAGTTAAGACTCTTATGCTCTTGAAACTGCAAAGTCGCTTTTGGCAGAATAGTGCGGAAAATGTTTTTAAAATTATATAATTACACATACTTTGAGTTTTCAAATTAATATCCATTATTTACTATCCATTAAATTTTTATTTGTACTTTTGGTTAATTTGAGAAAAGCTCAACTCAAATATGCAGTAAGGCGGTAAATTATTCTTGATTTATTGTTTTTAGATGAATAGAAAACCTTACAATTTGTTGAGTGTATAACTAGTTGGCCGTAGGCCAAACAAACTTCGTTGGCCGCTTTTAACTGCAAAAGGGGCGCAAAGGCAGTCATTTGTAATCTAAATAAAAGAAACTTTAAATAAAACACTTTCGCATTCTGCTTTTTGGAATTCATACACGTCGTTTTGTTAAAGGCTTAGTAACAAACGATTACATTTTAGAATTATTAAAGGCATTCAAACTATTTGGTTTAATGTTTTTAGCGCTCACATATATGTTCCCTGGTCAAACAAAAAGCAATGCGGCAGTCTAAACAATTCTGGTCGTGATTGCTATTCATGTGCACTCATATGCCGGTCGGTCAATAAAAAATAATTGCCAATCCCCCGAAACACCATAAAATCCTGGTGTCAGTAGCAACCCAAAAAAAAATTGTGAGAACAGGAGTGGGACTTTCTCACGTTTAAGTGTTTACCTCGCTATCTTACATCTGAAATGGCAGTCGTACGGAATATTTTCGCCGAATTGCTGCAGGGACACTTTTATGACCACAGAACCTGTTGAAGCGTAGTCGGTTGGCTAAAGAATAAACTAAATTAATTGGCGACCTGGCGAAATTACTTCATTAGCTGCTAATTGAATTGGCTGTCTCCTGAATGGCGCTGAGGGAAATCAGCCGGAATTCCGACGACCGGCGGCCTCTCGACTTGATTAATATTGCATTTTGTCAGCGAGACAAAAAACAGTCCACTTGAATGGATGGACTCTCCGGCCTTGAAGTAAATAAGAGACAAAACGGAGGACCTTAAAAGGGGCAGTTCCTTCCCTTGTTTATGTTATGTGAATAGAGTCTGCTTTTCCGGTCCGTCTCCTCCGAGTCAGCCATTAATCTCAATTTTAACGGCAAACATTCAATCAACCCAAAGGCGGGGAACAAGCGGCTTTCGTAATTAAAGACACATTAAGCGCTCGTTAAAATTAAAGTGGCACTTAAAGGACCGGTTGGAAAATGTCCTCCCCGTTTCCATGGCTCCTGCTCGAATACAGCCAACGTGCGACACTTAATGGTCTATGCAAATCGAGAACTATTGGCGATATCGAGCGAAATCGAGGCGAAAAAATTCGATTAAACGGAACCTTAAAAAAAAATTATTGTAAATACTTTTGTTTTCCAGTTTTACGTCAATTAAAATTAAAATTTGCTTTTTATACCCTTGCAGAGGGATTTTAGTCAGAAGTTTGAAACGGAGTGAACGAAACACCTCAGACCCCATAAAGTATATATTCTTGTTCAGCATCACGATCTAAACCGAATTATGTCAGCACGTCTGTTCATCTGTGTAAGCTAGTCTCTCAGCTTTACAGTTAACTTAATGAAACTTTACCAAAAAAAAAAAAAAAAACGAGAAGTGCATCAACTCGGCTGCACCAACAAGCCCAAGTTCTACAGTCTCTTCGGACGTAGCTTCTAAACGAAAGCGAGCTGAAAAGAAGGCAGGGCGATTTTTCATCATTTTATGATACAACCCCTTTGAAAATTTAAAAAAAAAAAATGGGATTGCTAAAAATTGACCTAATTTTACTAATTATTAGTCCATAACTTCTAATTCCAATCAAATTTTGAAGTGGCATAACGATTGTATTTTAATTCTCCAACAAACTGCATCATTAGGTAAGTTTTTAATGTTTGGACAATTTTTTTAATTTGTATGATGCAAACCCTTTTCAAATATTAATAAGTTCTCTCTGACTGTAATTAGATGTTCAAGTAATTAATGGAAATTGTTGGTTAAAAATTAAAATACTAAAAGCATGTGATGGAGTAAAGAAAAAAGCAGCCCAGCAACTAAAGAAATAAACTTCACAAATGCTGTTTTATTGTTCTTATTTCAAGAGCTTTGTTTATCCATAAACATTTCCGCTCTTTACTCATCCAAGGGGTAGATTTATTTATATTATTCAGGAATTTATTAAAGTGCCTGCTTGCAAATAGCACAACACAAACAAAGCTAAAACCAATGGAAATTTAAATATCTCAAACGAAAAACAATTAAGCTCTTGAGCTCTTAAGCTCTTAAGAAATATTGAACCACAAAACTGATTGAAATATATATATTTTATATTTAAAAAATGTAAACAATTTATGGCATTTATGTAGTTACTTGGGATTATAGTTTTACTGTTCTGGCTGTCGTACTGATACCACTACTCGTATCTCCTTGATCCTTGCTGTGAAAAAGTGCATAAAATTTATTCTGGCTTGTCGCTGGCCGTAAAATTGTTGGTAAAGAAGTGCCATAAAAGCCTTTAATGGCGCGACTGTCTGTAATTAAAATCCCACACGCGCTGTCGCCCTCATTCTCCTTCGGTATGGGCATACATGGCGTATACGTGATGTGAGTGAACTCTAAGCCGATGCGACTTTAAAATGCAGTTCAAGTGCTTTAATTAAATCGTACACATTTGTGGTTCCCATTCTCTTTATTTTTTTTAGTTTCTCTAGCGTTTACAGCTCGGAACATAGTCTGTGGCCGGAATATGACTCCTGATTTATGGCCATTTGTTTTTCGCTTACCAAACAGGCTCATAAATAAACACAAAAAATGCCAAAACAAATGGCAAATATTCCGTAACAAATGGCGCTGGCCTAAATGGTAGTAGCGCTTGATACAGTTTATGTTATGCAATTCCCGAAATGATCAAAGGGACCCGAAGTTAACAGCTAATTTAACTGCACTGCAATCATGGAAGGGAACTTGGTTCGTGCGCACGCTGCGTATACTTAATTTGCCTTTGGTAAATAACGACCGAGGCATTTCGTATGGTTTTTGTGATATCGGAGCGCAAGCAATATCCGTTAACACTTTTCCCAGGCACTGCACTGCCGTCCTTTGCATTCGCTTGTTTATGCCATGCGCCGAGCATTTGTCTTGGATGCACAGAATGAACGGAGTCCGACGTTCCGATAAGCTGCGTTTATTGGAAAAGTTTCGATGCCGGAGGCTGGGGTGCCACTTCGACACTTATTTGAATTTATATCCAAACAAATTGTGCGGCTTTCTCCGCTGCGCTTGTTGCATTTTAATTGGATGCCAGCCACGTGGCTGCTCTACGGGCAATTAAAACTTTAAGTCTGAGAAATAATTTTTTCTAAAAACTAATAAATTATCTTTTGAAATCAAAATCCAATTTAAAGATTACTATTTATTATTAAATCATGTCCACAATGGGCATTCATCATTTTTAAGCTATTGTTACTGAGAATAAAGGCAGCGTGAAAAGTTTAAAGTAAATCAGCAAACAATTATGTTTAATAATTTATGGGAATTCACTGGGTTATTGTTTAACCCAATAAAAGTCATATTTTTTTCAGAGCGAGAAAATGAATGTCCGATTTTTGAGATTAACAGCTTTGAACTGGCCACAATGTGACACCTTTTGGTCACGCCTGTCCAAGCTGGCTGACAATTGTGGTGGGCGCTTCGCTTACGCAAATTTCATTAACA